TCCTGATAGCCTATCCAATCCCAAGTGGTCAGCCCTAAAAACATACACATACAAGTAACACTAAATGGTCTTAGCAGGTTATATGTGTGAGTGAGTGAGTGAGTGTGTGTGTGTGTGTGTGTGTGTGTGTGTGTGTGTGTGTGTGTGTTTTGTGTATATGTATGTCTGTAATAAAAACAAAGATGAGGTAATGGAGTCGATAGGGAGTGGAAGGGACATGAGAGGAGTTAGCGAGGGGAATCCCTACTCCCACCCTCACCCCCCCCCCCAAAAGGGAAACTAAATATAAATTTAAAAAGAAAAAGCTTGAGGGTGCAGATGCCCATGAAGCCACCAGGGGGCACTCAAGGAACTTGCTGAAGGTCAGAGCGGCCTAAAAGCCAACTGGGCAGCCGCATCACAGAGGAGAAAGAAACGCCCAGATGAAGCTGGACTTTTCCCTGGTGCAGGCCAGATTCTGCCAACAGAAGGGAACAGTCCTCAGGAAGCTGTGCTTCGTTCCCACACTGCTTGGAAAAGGCCAACATTAGCCATCATCATGTCTTATCCGAGGATTGGGTGGTTTTTAGTCCTCCCGCTGGCCAGTGGTTTTCCTTAGGTATCTGCTAGACAAAAGAGAGAAATGTACAGAGGTGAGCACTTTGTAGCCCTGTCGCTCTTGGTGTTTGGTTTTGTTGCTTACTTGTTTGCTTGGGGGGAAGAAAAGGGTTTATTTCAGCTGACAGTTCTCTCAGGTCACACTTCATCCCAGGGGCAAGTCGGGGCAGAATTTAAGACAGGAACCTGGAGACGGGAACTGATGCAGAGGTCATAGAGGAATGCTACTTCCTGGCTTGCTCTTTCTGATGAGTCCCGCTCCACCTGTTGAACGGTTCTGGAAGGGGCAGTGTGGAATTGAGAAGTGATAGCTATGAAATACAGACGTAGATGAAGAAGAGGACAGCGACACAGGACAGCTTAGGGAGGGCTCTGGGTCAATACACAGACCCTGAGTGTATTACTCACAGCCTTTAAATATCCAAAAGCAAGGGGGGCAAAAAGACCTCCCCCTTTCAAGGACATCACAGTTCAAAGCACAAAGTACAGTTAAGTGTAAATGTCTCCTTAGCACTTAAGACATCTGGTGACCACGCCTATGGCAAAGCATCCTGTAATTAGGCCTTGAAGTATAAGACACCTGGTAACCACGCCTTTGGCCAAAACATCCTATTATGCAGCCTGGCAGGGGAAAACAAGCTCGGACTCTCTGACCTTGGGTCAAGATGAAAACAAGCCACAAGTTGGGGTCTCTGTGGACCCCCACACTCTTCCCATCATTCTTAGTTCACATCTCCGTTATTAAGTAAACAAAGGCAGCTGCATTATAAACAGTATTAGCGCCATGTTACACACCTGGAAAAGACTCAAAGCTGGCAACCTGGGGACCCAGATTCTCCATTGAACCTGGCAAGTATCCCCTGTATCTACCTCCTTGCTATAAACACAGGCGGATGAGACAGAAGCCATTCACAAGGTCCCTTCTTTCCTGGTTAGTTTTGCCTGGCAAAACTTACACGCCAGCAGTCCACATCCCCTCACGTATTGTATTCCCAGATCTCAGTTATTCACAGTTAGCCACTGTCTGAACATGTTACGAAGGAACTTTCAGAAACACTTCCTGTTTTCAATCACTCCCCTTGCAGAGTTGTGTGATGAAGTCTATTTGCACTCTCCCCAAAGATGAATCACCCCTTGGTCCGAAGGTCAATGCCTCCCTGTTTTCCACTTAGGAGCAGATTGAAATCTCAATGCCACAGAGTTCTTGTTTGGGTAATCCTGATTGTAATTAATAACAACCCCAAAGCCCAAGAGTAATGATGCTGGCAATTCAGACAGTCAAAAATACAGGAAAAAGTGCTTTCAAGAGAGGAGGGAGCCGGGCGGTGGTGGCGCACGCCTTTAACCCCAGCACTCGGGAGGCAGAGCCAGGCGGATCTCTGTGAGTTCGAGGCCAGCCTGGGCTACCAAGTGAGTTCCAAGAAAGGAGCAAAGCTACACAGAGAAACCCTGTCTCGAAAAAAAAAAAAAGAGAGAGAGAGGAGGGACCACATTCACAAAGCATTTATTGCAGTATACTGCTTACATAGTTATAGAATTAGTATATTATAATTATCCTACTATGAATTACTATTAGTTATTGTTCCTTTCTTACAAATTATACTTTATCATAGGTATATATGAATACAGAAAAACAGAACATACAGAGGTTGACAGTCTATAGCTTCAGCCATCTACTGGGGGACTCCTGAAATGTACCCTCTGTAGATTAAGGGGGCCACAATAGCTTCCTAGGGCTGCCATAACAAAATATTCCAGCCAAGTGGCTTGAAACAACAGAAATGTTCATCTGTCACATGCTGGGCTGGCAGCCAGATGTCCATCATGGGTTTGTTTGGTCCTTCCTGAGATAGAAAACGGTCATCTTTGTGGAGGGGCCCCAAAATAGCTTGACCACACAGCAGCCATGACAGGCTTAGGGGCCTAGACACAGATTCCGTGATAGGCTTACTGGCAGGCAACACCCAGATCCAGGAAAAGCCTTAAGCTGATACCACCCAGGGATCCTCCCACGGGTGAGGAAGTACCTGACATCCCAAACATTCCAACCATTAGATAAGGTGGCCAGATGTCCTTGAGTCTAGCACACACCTGTCTTTTGTTTTACAGATTCCCCCTAGACAACTGTCAGCCAGTCAGGGTCCTGGATCCTGGAAATCCCTTCATCCCAAACATTTTAAGCATTAGATAAGGTGGCCAGATGTCCTTGAGTCTAGCACACACTATTTTTTTGTTTTACAGATTCCCCCTAGACAACTGTCAGCCAATCAGGGTCCTGGACCCTGGAAATCCCCTCACCCCACCCTCTGCTGTGATAAAAACTCTGCCCCACCTGAGCTCAGGGTTCTCTGCTCTCACGGCTGAGTCGGACAGACAGAGGGACCAAGCTCCGGAGCTTGAAATAAAGGCTCTTTGCTTTTACATGTGGGATTCGGTCTCCATGGTGGTCTTTTGGGGGTCCCCGCGATCTGAACATAACAATCTTCATCTAGTATCTTTACATCATTTTTCCTCTGTGTGTGTGTGTGTGTGTGTGTGTGTGTGTGTGTGTGTGTGTGTAGTGTCTTTACATCATCATCCCTCTGTGTATATGTGTGTATGTGTGTGTGTGTGTGTGTGTGTGTGTGTGTGTGTGTGAGTGTTGTAAGTATATGTGTCTGTCTGTGTGTGTCTTTTATAAGGACACTAGTCATTAAACTGGGGCCTGATGCCTCAGAGACCTAATTTAACGTAAGTACCTTGGAAATCTCTCTAAAAAGGCGACATTTTGAAGTATGGGGAACTAGAACCTCAACAGGTCTTTTAGGGGAATTCAGCTCATCTCTCTGTAGCTTTGTTCCTTTCCAGGGACTCACTTGGTAGCCCAGGCTGGCCTCGAACTCACAGAGATCCACCTGCCTCTGCCTCCTGAGTGCTGGGGTTAAAGGCGTGCGCCACCACCGCCCGGCAAAAGATGACTTTTAAAAGCTTGTGTTGACAAAGTCTTACGAGTCATAAATGCTAGTGGGTCACAACACCCTAAAGACTCAAAGAAAAGTTATAAATCCATCTGGCATCGTAACAATACATGGACAAAGCTAGTTGTTTCTACAATAACACGTATAGAAAGCTATATGAAGCAATTTTGGTGAGGATAACAGCATTATAAACCACATGAGCTTTAAGACTCAAATGATGATACATGGACTACATTGGGTAATTGCCTGATGCTAAAATGTAAACTGAGGCACAAAAAAAGTTTTAGAGTATATTTGAGCAAACACTAATTGGTACTAGGCAGCTCCAACCCCAGTGTGGTCTAGGCACTTCACATGGGAACTCATCAGGGTCGCATGGAAGCCAAGCCAACGTGTTGGTTACAGTTCCACAGCTGTTTATTTGGTCCTCCTCCCACTGGAGAGTTTCCAGTTATGTAAGTTGTTTGTCTACTTCTGATTGGTTGCGTTTAAGTTTTGTTTTTCTTTAATATGCAAATGTATAAGAAGTAGTTCAACTTACGTTTTGCTTAGGTTTTCAAATCAAGCAGAGCTAAGGTCATGTAGAAGGAAAACTTCGAACTGTGTGGCTTTTTATGGTTTGAGCCTGGCCTCCATTTTAATACTTTAACACTATGGTCAGCAGTACAGAAAATCAAATCCAAGTCAAGAGAGAAAGGGAGAGGGAAGGAGGGGAAGGAGAGGGAGGGAGGGAGGGAGAGAGGGGGAGGGAGGGAGGGAGAGAGAGGGGGGAAGGAGGGAGGGAGGGAGGAGAAGAGAATGGGAGGGGGAGGGAGGGAGTTGTATACATACAAAAAAATCATGATAGAATTGCTTTTATAAGGAAGACTATAGGGGTCCAACCCTTTATAGTCTTTTCCCAGAGTTCCAGAAGAGACGCTACCAGAGGCAAAAATTAATCTGAGGGATGTCGAATGAATCTACGTACACGAAACTCTTTAGTCCATTCACTTTATTCTTCTGAGTCAATTCTCTCTCTACACAGCTTCTCTTCTGCTCTCTTCCTTAGCTCCTTTCTTGCCCGATTCTCTCTACACTTCTCTGCTGTTCTCTTTATGTCCTATCTTGGTTCTCCATCTTAGTTCTCTCCAAGTCTCTGAGGTCTACAGTTATATACCCATGCAATCAGCAATACTCCAGCTGAAGCAAGGTCAAACGGCTTGAATTCTTCCAGGGTCAAACAGAGGTGATAAGATCCACACACAGAGCAATAATTGTCAGCATCATTTGCAACCCAAAAGGGGAGTGATTAAAGGAGGTGGGGTCAACTAAGGGCTAAAATCAGTTAATAGATCAAAAAGGGGGAATTTATGTGCTCAAACTATATTCTTAGAAGTGGTTATTAAAATGTTAGGAGTTTTATGTCACTAAGTCATGACTAAAATAAAACTGCCTTCCCCCCCCCCCCCTTTGGAGCCGTATCTGTCTCTGTCTAATCTCAGCTGTGCCCTTTTCTGGCAGGGCAGGTGAAATGAACTGGTAGCTAGATAGCCTGTGCCACAGCTTGATGTACCTGGTACGTAAAAGCCCTTTTGTTGTGGGCTTTTGTTAAAGGGGGACTTGGGCTATGGGAGAAAGGAGGGTTTAAGCTTAATTTGCACAAGAACAAAGTTTTGTACCTAACATCTACCTGGCCTAGGTGGGTATTTACCTTACTCCAGAAGGCTAGCAGGTGGTCTGAATGCTTATCTGCAGTTTGCCCTTGAATGTTTGAGAGATGTCTCAGATAAAATGCTTTTGTCCGGAGAGAGCCCTGGCCAGATACTTGCTCATGGAGATAATTGTAGAAAGGCAGACTTCTGGGTCTAATGCTAAACAGGAGAACAAAAGCCTGGGGATCTTATCCAAATACCCCAATAGGGAAAAATTGTGCCTAATAAATGATCAATCAAATGGGAAAGCTACAATAGCACACAAGAAATTCACTCTAGGAGACAGCTGATACATACAAAAGCAGTATCACCAAGACTCCTTGAGTCTCGGCTTTATCCTCTGGAAGAATTCTTTTTGCTACCATCAACTGAATTCCTACTTCATATTTCTGTGGCTCGCAGCACTTTTTATAGTGAACACGGGTTATCTATACACATTGTACACAGTAAATGTTCACAAAATCAGATTCCCATTCCTTCCGATTCACTTCCACAGGTGGGCTGCGGTTCTCCAGCATTCCAGTCAGAATGTTCACGGCCCAGCAGGCACTGGTCCCCACGGGCCGCACTTCAGCTCCTGCCATGGCCGCTCGATGAACAGCGTCAGGGCCAGCCCGCAGAGGAAGGTCAGCACACAGTGTCCAGAGAAAAGATAGAACTGTGGACAAAGGGGCACAGTGGACAGCTTATTCCATGGGTCCCCCCATGCTTGGCTCTGAGAGTACAGTGCCCCCAGGCCATGAGGCAGAGCCAGGAATAAACAGTTTACCCTGGACTGAAGGCCTTCCCCTCCCTCCTTCAGCTAAATCCTGGAGCAGAGCAACTCCAGAAAAAAGAGCGGCAAAAGCCAGCCCCTAACAAAGCCAGCCGTTTGCTCTGCTGCTCAAGAAGAGCGAGTGGTGGAACTAAGGCAGGACCTGAGGCCAGGCCCTCGCTCACCATATTGGTATCAGTATAGTGGAGAAGGGTCTCCTGCAGTCCGTTATAGAGGATGATCACTATGGGGTGGACGAGGTAGCAAGCGTAACTGATGCTAGCCGGGAGACTCCAGATGCCGCAAGAAAGCACACGCGTCACCGGACCTGGTGGGAAGAGGGACAGAGTCGCAGAGTGGCAAGCCCGTCTGTGGTGCTACCTGACACATTGCAGTATTCTCTTTTTAAAAGAGTGTGTGTGTGCATGTGTGCGTGTGTGCGTGTGTGTGTGTGTGTGTGTGTGTGTGTGTGTGTGTGTTGTGTGTGTGTGTGTGTGTATGTGTGTGTGCGTGTGCATGTGTCTCTTGGAGGCCAGAAGACGGTGTTAGATCCCCCAAAGTTAGAGCTAGAAGTGGTTATGTGAGCTGACCAACGTGAGTGCTGGTCCTTCATCAGCAAACACTCTCAACCACTGAGTCTTCTCTCCAGCCCCTGCAGGCCCCTGTTGTGTCTCTAGACATCCCCTGGCCTCCTGGTGCCCCCACTCTACTGCAATGCCTTGTGAGAGAAGAACTCCTTCTTATCCATTGCTGGACCTTAAATGCATAGAACGCCGCCTGGCACAAAACAAGTACACGAACACATTTATGCCATTCAGTGACTAAACCTGGAAACACTCAGCCCAGCCCCCAACCCCTGGTAACAAAGGGGGTCCCTTTGGTGACTGTTTCCATGAGGCCTGGAAGATGTATATCCAACTTGTATCAGCAAGTTGGGGCCACTTGTTTTCTCTTTAAGCCACGGGGTCCCACCATGTTGGTCGAGGCTGAGCAGCTTTTCCCCTACAGCCTAATACTAAACTCATCCAATGATGTCCCTAGAGTACACAGCTGTCCTGCCCACTCCCCACCCCCACCCTCCACCCCTGGGCTATGCTCCATGGCTTTGAGGATTCAGGGAAGTTTGGAAACAGAGATTTTTCCAGATGGTGCCTGTAGCTAGAGTTTTCCTGCCTTGCCCACAGTCAGGACAAATCTTTGTCACCTGCCAGTCCCACAGCCGCTCAGACCCAACCAAGTAAACACAGAGACTTATATTGCTTACAAACTGTATGGCTGTGGCAGGCTTCTTGCTAACTGTTCTTATAGCTTAAATTAATCCATTTCCATAAATCTATAACTTGCCATGTGGCTCGTGGCTTACTGGCATCTTCACATGCTGCTTGTCATGGTGGTGGCTGGCAGTGTCTCCTTTTGCCTTCCTGTTCTTTCTTTTCTCCTCTCTGTTAGTCCCGCCTATACTTCCTGCCTAGCCACTGGCCAATCAGTGTTTTATTTATTGACCAATCAAAGCAATTTGACATACAGAACATCCCACAGCAGGTGCCTGAGTGATGTTTGGTGGTACCTCTTTACCTCCTCCCTACCTCGGGCCAAATAGAGAAGTGGGGGAAGGAAATGCCAGGAGTCTTGAACATTGTTCTCTCTCTAATTGGGAGAAAATACCTTTCTTTCTATATATGCTCGTCATCTGCTTGCTCCCTCTGCCCAGCAAAAGGCAATGGCACAAAAATATTCCCCCTGGTTATGGAAGGGGCCCTAGTGACTTGTTAACCTCCTCCCCTCAGACAGAAACTGAGGCCTAAGGTGGGTGTGGCCTTGTCCTCTGTTGCTACACCACATCATTTTCTCACTGTTTTTTCAGAGTTCTTGTCTAGCCTCTTAACTAGCTTTATGGAGAAACCCAAACCTTGTCTTTCAGGACCTACCTTATAAGGTACATAAACCAACACAACAAATAATAGATCGAGCGTTATTTACCCCAAGGATAGAAACAAAGTGTTCTTTCTGCACTGGTATCAATCATTACAATCATCCCTCCCTACCTCTGGGTGCACACCTTGTCTTTTAACTTTGTCGCCCTCTGGAACAGGGTGTGAGCCCAAGAGCAGAGCCAGTGGCCCCCTCCTACCTCCATAGCCTTCCTGACAGGCAAAGATGATCCAGCCCACAGCTGCTGCCCACAGGGTCCGATGGAGGGCCTGGTAGATGGCAGCAGCCGTGGAAGAGGCGGGGGAGGTGTCATCCACTACGTATGCCAGCGAGACAACTGCAAACAGGGTCAGCAGAGAGAAAGTCCAGCCCAGCGTGGCCTGCACCTGAGGGGAGAACAAGGGGCAGTTCACAGCTCGTGAATCGCTGCATCCTTTGGCATATGCTCACTTCTTTGGTGCCATTTCTATCACTTGAGATCCCTGTGTGTAAACCTCAGTCACTACAGATTTCACTAAAACAAAAGATCAGCGTAGTGGTAGGCAGGAGTTAGGAACAATGCCGCTGAAGGGAGTGTGTACCCATAAAGGGATGAGCTGAGCTGGGTGTGGAAGCATATGCCTATAATCCTGTTGCTCAGGAGACCAAGGCAGGAGAACTGAGTTCGAAGCCAACTGGGCTACACTGGGAGACCAGATCTCAAAAACCAAAAAGTAGTTGTAGAGAATAATAGCCTACTGAGTGACACGATGATGACTCTGCATGTCCAACTGTCCTTAGATCACTTTCATGTACATACATAATGTGCTTGGACCGTATTTGCTCCCTACTAATCCACACATACCCCCTCTTCCCTCCCTCTGGACACCTTCCCATCCTGATTGTCACTCCGTTCCTCTCACACAAGAGACAAGCAGGGAGGATGGGGGGAGGGATTAAGGGCTTACGGTGACAGAAGAGCCCTGCGCCTTGATTGCAGTGACATGTACAAATCTCTACACAGGACAGCAGTTCCCAGAACTACACAAGCACATACAAAGAAAGTGCAGGGGAAACCGGCAGGTCTAAGGTCCAGGCGTTGAGCATTGTCAGTTCGTGGGGATGATAATATACCACAGTTCCCTGACATGGTGCCTGATGCACAGCCTGGTTGAAGGACACGAAGGGCCTCTCACATTGTTTGTTTTACAATTTCCCACAAATATATAATCAGTTCAGGATCCGTTAGAAGAGAACTTTCCTCTCCAACACTCCCTCCACTCCTAATGTCCTACTCTGTCCCTTAATCAAAAGGATGCCTCATAGGTGGATCTCTGTGAGTTCGAGGCCAGCCTGGTCTACAGAGCGAGATCCAGGACAGGCTTCAAAGCTACAACAGAGAAACCCTGTCTCGAAATACCAAAAAACAAAACAAAACCAAAGGATGCCTCAATAATGTGGAAGAGGCCCCTTGAGGAATTGAGAGGAGAGCAACTTCAGGCTCAAACTTAAGTTCCATCCCCCGGCTTTGTTTAAGTCCTGGATTTTATGCTACATGTCTTGATCTCTTCAGACCCAGACCTATCTTCCAAGGCTCTCTTGCTTCTCTGTGCTCTAGCTCCTAAGCCGCCATGATGATCAAGCTGAAGTAAGAAGCTTGAGACCTACTTGGAACTCAACTACCTGCCCCCGGTTGGCTGTAGAGAAGGAGAGGAAACTATCGGGGGGAGGGTTCCTACTCTTTCAGTTCGAACTAAGTCAGTCTTAGCCCCTCACCCTCTGCTAAATCTTTGGTGTCAGCAAGTCTGCAACCTCAAGAAATACAGCTGAACCCATGCTGTCCTCCGCTCCTTGCCTACCTGTCTGTTCACAGGGTCCTCCCCGTCTCATCCCCAGCAGCCACCGCATGCTCGGCTTCCTCAGGTAGGAACCAGAGTTCTCATTTTTCCCAGCATTCAGTTTTGTTTCTCCAGCTCAGTCTGTATCCCTAGCTGCATGCTCCTGACCCCAACACTGCCCTTGACATGGCTCCCCAATGCTTCCTTTTGTCTTACCCTCTCCCCTTTGCTAATAAATACCCTGTTCTCCCTGGAGCCTCGGGTCACCTGGGCTGTGTTCAAGGGTCTCTTTGATGGCTCTGTGTTATATTCTACAGCTGGATAGTGCGTTTCCAGAACATCAAAATGCTGACATGTAAAAGATACACTCTTCTGTACAGCCACTTGTCCTGATGAATCTTTTTGTTTGCTGGCTTGTTTGTTGGGGTAATTTTTTTTTTGGTTTGGTTTTGGGATTTTGTTTGTTTGTTTGTTGTTTTGTTTTGGGATTGGGGGAGGGTTGGTTTCTCAAAAGAGGGTTTCTCTGTGTAGTCTTGGCTGTCCTGGAACTTGCTCTAACTCACAGAGATCCATCCACCTGCCTCTGCCTCCTGAATGCTTGGATTGAAGGCATGAGCCGCCACACCCAGAAAATTCTATTTCTTGATGTTGCTATGAGTCATATAAGCTTTCCCAAGGGCCAGAGTCTCCTTTCTGAACTGTCTATGACAAAGCCAAGGCCAATGATGGTCATATAGAGCCCTTGGAGGGGCAACAATGGTGCCCCAATAGTGCAATCAGATTCTTGGTCCTTTAGCTCAGAAAGGAGGACCGGACTCTGGCTGGAAGAAAAGTCCTCCTCACGGTTTAGCATGGAGGTACAACACACTGCATCACAGTAATGAATCCAGCAGCCTGGCTCCACCTCCGCTTGGAAGAGCCAGGTGAGAGAGGCCACGCCCATCCCAGCCAGACTGAGGCCCTTACGGGGAGGCAAGGGGACAACATACCGGAGTTTTGAGAATGCTTGTAGGGTGGTCTGAATGCATGAACATGCTCAGGAAGAGGCCCACAAGGAACGGGCCGCACCGGCAGTAGGGTTTGGTGTAATACTCTGAGAAATACAGGGCAGTCTCGTTTTCACTGGAAACAAACAAGGAAGCAAGACAGAAGCTCAGTTTTGAGCTGGATGAGGAAAAGAGAATGTCCTCTGGGGTGATCCACGAGTCTAGAGTCAGATTTCCCAATAATGCAATAATGATCCACACACAGTGACCACCTAGGTCCTAGACTCTTGGGTCACAGTTGGCTTGTTGAAATTCTAAATTCCCCTGGGCTCCGTACCCAGATCTCAAAGGCATGTGATGATTTCATTTGTTTTAAATCCTCCTTCGTGGTGGCTGATCCACTGCCTCTAGGAGTGAATGGAGTGCCCAGAAGGATCTGTGAGAGTAGGGGGTTCCAAACGTGGAGCTGGAGACATTTGAAAGATGGGACGTGATGGTGAAGACTTGTAATCCCAGCACTTGGGAAGGAGAGGCAGGCAGATCTTTGTGAGTTCTGGGCCAGCCTGGTCTATATAGCTAGTTTCAGGACAGCTGGGGCTGCATTGAGAGATCCTGTCTCCAAAAGAAAGAAAGAAAGAAATAAAGAAAGAAAGAAAGAAAGAAAGAAGGGAGGGAGGGAGGGAGGGAGGGAGGGAGGGAGGGAGGGAAGGAAGGAAGGAAGGAAGGAAGGAAGGAAGGAAGACAGAGAGAGACCGACAGACAGACAGACAGAGACAGAGAGAGACAGACAGACAGAGAGACAGAGAGAGACAGAGTTTCGGATAGCTTGCAGGCACTGACTGAGCTATCTTCTCAGCCCCTCTAGGCTTATGGGTTTGGGGGGGGGGTTGTTTGTTTTGTTTTGTTTTGTTTTTTGAGACAGGGTTTCTCTGTGCAATTTTGGTGCCTGTCCCGAATCTCGCTCTGTAGCCCAGGCTGGCCTCAAACTCACAGAGATCCCCCTGGCTCTGCCTCCTGAGTGCTGGGATTAAAGGCATGCATCACCGCCACCACCTGGCTAGGCTTATAATTTTATTGGGAGGTCAGGAAGGGCTGCTTTGGAAAATGTGACATTTGCATGGACATCTAGAAAGACGGGCTGGGGGCAACCCTGACAGACCTCAGATGCTAATGGAAGATCGTTCTAGACTGAGAGAACAGCAGAACCATAGACTCCGGTGTGGCTGGTCTGAAGTCAGCAAATAAAAGGTTGCAGCCAGGTGGCTTTGGGACGAATCTGAGCTTTTGGCTGGCTCGCCTGATTTTCACAAGTGTGGTGTTGACTGCTGTATTGAGAAAAGTCTAGCTCCTGTTTATACACGGATTTCTATGGCAGGATGAGAAGTAGCTTATTGTGGAGGCAAAAGAGCTTTGAGAGGTAGATCCTAAGTTCAAATAACACCTATGCCAGCCCTTAGCTGCTGTATGACCTTGAAAAGGTAACCCCAACTTCATCATGGGTTCAGTTTCCCCATCCAGCAAGATATCTGCTACACTAAGGGAGAACCCCATTTCAGCCACATGGGGGTGCTCCTGTCCTCTGAGAAACATTTCCTCGAGTCATATACTTGTTAGAGGACCCACGCCTACAAGTTGAAAGGTTGAGAAATTCAGAACTTTCTTCTGGATCAAAGGTGTATAACCCAATTTTCCCATAAGCTGATGGGCATAGGACGAACAGCCTGATGATTCTGAAGACCTCTCTGGGATACCCTGACCTGGTGAGGTCATGCAAGGGACCAAGAGGACCAGGTTGGAACTGTGTTACCTGGCTGATGATGGAGACGCCACCGGGAGTTTATAAGCCAATGTGAGCAGAGCAGTGGCAGCGAAAGATGTCAGGAACAGCAGGGCCCCGAGGAGGACAAGGACACGTTTATTTCTGTAGATGAGAGGGCAGGGGAGAATGCCTTTCAGTTGCCTTCCTCATAGCATGAATGAGGTGCTACAATCCCAAGAGCCCTGGGGCCTTGCTTTCAAGGGAGAAAGGGGGGACTTCAATGGAACAGAGGAAGCTGGGCTGGCTGGAAGTTCCTGAACTGCCTGATCTTGACCACTGACCAGCAGTGAGACCGTGGACAGGACCTTGAACTTGCCTTGCCTGCCCTGCCCAGACGCTTTGTACTGTGGCTCAAAAGGAGACCATTCTTGGAAACGGGGCTTGTCATCTACGGAGCGCTATATGGACATGAGTGGTGGTTGACTTAGAAGTGGAGTGAGCTGCTCAAGGCAGGATGGGCCCAGATAGGACACAGCCACCCACTCCAGGGAAGGGGAGGGAGAACAGAACAGGGAAGAGAGCCCAGCTTTCCTCGCCAGCATAAGCCTGAGACAAATGTTGACGTGGGAGGTTCGCGTGGGAGTGGAGAAGAGAAGCAGGAGGGCAGGGAGAGCCAATACAAGGTAAGCTGTTGAGGTAACCAACACTCAGTTCTTCCAGCATGTTCTACAGCTTTATGTAATATGCCTCAAAACTGTCTGAGGGGATGAAGGAAAAAAGGATTTCCCCAATATCTTCTGTTCGCACATTAATTCCTGCACACTCGGGGTTGTACACGAAGAAGTCCCCGCTGTCATATACTGCAGGATTCTGTGACAGGGAAAAGGTCTGAGGACGCCGACTCTAAGTGAGGCACTGTCTGGTGACTCGGAACAGAACAGGGCGGATGGGGACTGTGACGATCTGCTGTGGCACAGAAATGTGGACATTCGTGTCTCCATCTTTTAGAAGTAGTTTCCCGTTGTGACTCAAGAGCTTTCAAGACATTCATGCCCTGTGACCCACTGATTCCCCCTCAGGATATGCATCCGGAAGAAACACTGGAGTTGGAGACAAATGGTTGTCATGAAGATATTCATGGGAAGTTATTTATGAAAGCATAAAATTGGAAACAATCCAAGAGAAGGTACAAGCAAAATATACTTCATTCAGGAGATTAAATGTTTGGCAGACATTACAGTTATGTTTACAATCGGGAAAATAATTTAGTAAAACTACTTTTAAAAGCTGTGGAGGAGCATGCTTTCATCTTTTTAAAAAAAAAATTGAGCAGGGAAAAAAAATAAAAAAGACAGCACCAGAATTTTGACAGTGAGCCTAGCTTGCCATGAGTGATGGACTGGGGTGAATATTTTCCTTCCTCTTAATCCTAATGTTTCCTAAATTGAACACATATTTTAACAAGGAGGAATAATAAATTTCTTTTTTAAATGGCACACTATAAATCTCCCTGCGAATTACTGAGACTGTAAAGCGTTTCTAAAACTAACACAATTAAGGTGATAGATTCGGGCTGTGGGGCGGCAGGTACATTGACGCATGGCTAAGGGCACTGTAAATACTCCCCTCTTCCCAGGGAGCAATTTCCCAGTCTGTAACAAACACTTAGGAATCCCTCCACCCTTTAACCTGGTGATTCCACATAGAAATATATCCCCATGGAAAGAGCTACAAGGAAAAGTGGAGTGTTCAAAGGCAGTCATCACAGTGCCATTTATAATCATGAAAAATTGGGCACCATCTAGATACCCAACCATAAAAATGGACTATAAATCCTGCGACTGACAGGTATGCGGGCTGTGTCAATATGTGGATATGTTTATGCGAACAGCTGGCATGGAAAATGCTGAGCACTGGGTATTCCACACACGGGTGATAAATCTGGGAAAACATGCTGATTTATATGTGGCTGCCAGAAGACGTGGAAGGCAGGCAGGAGAGGGAGCGGTACCTCCCGATCTGGAAAGTTAATTTCCTACATTATAAAAAGCTGCTTTCTACAAAACTGGAACATATCTGAAAGTTCCGGGCCAAAGGACCCATGGAGGGGGAGGGGAGGGACATCTCAGACCCACTTTCCATGGACGAAGAAGATGAGCGGCGTCAGGAGGTGGAACTGGAAGTCGCTGGCGAGGTACCAAGTCCAGCCATGGCACTGGGGATAAAGGAGAAGTAGATGTGATTCCTCCCTTCCAGGTACCGGGGCTGTAGAGTGTCTGCCATTTGGCCTGTTGAGCAGGTGGCCGGGGCAGCTTCCATGGGAAGAGGAACTAGACACCCTCTGTCCTTCCTCAAATCAGCCTTTGGACCAAGCCTGGCCTCATGGAGATTCAGACACATTTCTCTCTTGTTTCTAAAAACCAACATAGCTTGTCTCCTAGGACAGCCATGGGAACGGACTGGGGTCATGATTCAGGAATGCAGGAGGTGGCTGTCCTTATGGTGTGACTGGAATTCCAAGAAGCCAGAGAGGTCCTTTCCCTTGCCTGGTTCCCACTCCCAGCTCTAGGTGGAGAAATTGTGTTCTTTTGAAAGCAAATATTTGGCGCACACTCAGAGTTCCCACTAGAACCAACATGGATGCCTGGCCAAAGCCACGGGGGCCCACCTGCTCTTCATGCTTGTGGTAAATGAAGCCAGCCATTGCGGACATGTTTTATCTCACATAAGAAAATTCCTAGGGGCAATTTTCCTGTCATTTCAGATCCTAGGGCCCAAAGGAGCCCAAACTTCCTCAGGATAGAGGGAAGCTTTGTCCACAGTTAAAAAGACACCTTTGAAGCCAGGCAGTGGTGGCGCACGCCTTTAATCCCAGCACACTCGGGAGGCAGAGGCAGGCGGATCTCTGCGAGTTCGAGGCCAGCCTGGGCTACAGAGTGAGTTCCAGGAAAGGCACAAAGCTACACAGAGAAACCCTGTCTCCAAAAACTAAAAAGAAAAAAACCAAAAGACACCTTTGCCATGGAGAAAATATGAATGGTCAGGCTTGAGAGCCATGGCACCTTGCTTCTAAAAATCTAAGGTAGGCTTCTACTCAAAGAGGCAACTGGCTCCTGTCCTTGCCCCTGAGTTTTTTTAATGGCCCAAGCTAGTCTGCATCCAGGAAAATGGCCCCACCTATCTCCTGGGACCATATCACAGACGTGAGCTCATCTGCAAGAGGTCAGCATGGATGATGCCCGTCAAAACTACTGGGCTTGGCCATCTCATGAATGAGTGGTTACGTGTGAGAATTAGGGACCTGCCATTCCACCCACAGGAGGACTTAAGGACATGGCCGAGTTATAGCTACCTCATATTCTTTCACTCCAAGTTCATTATTGTCCTGCTGGATGTGTATTATTATTGTTGTTGTTTTGTCAACTTCATACAAGCCAGCATCTTCTGGGAAGAGGGAGCTTAAACTGAGGAAATGCCTGCAGGATATTGACCTATAGGTATGTCTGTGGGAACATTTTTTTAGATTTATTTATTTTATGCATATGAGTACTCTATCTGCACGTACACCTACATGCTAAAAGACAGCATCAGGTGCCATTACAGATGGCTGTGAGCCACCATGTGGTTGCTGGGAATTGAACTCGGGACCTCTGGAAGAGCAGCCAGTGCTCTTAACCACTGGGCCATCTCTCCAGCCCAGGGAAACAGTTTCTTGATTGATGACTGATGTGGGAAGGCCCAGCTCCACTGTGGGTGGTGTCACCCTTAGGCAAGTGATCCTGGGTTATATAAGAAAGCAGGCTGAGCAAGTAATGGGGAGCAACCATGCGTCCATAGTCTCTGCTGTGGTTCCTGCCGGGGGATCCTGCCCTGATTTCTCTCAGTGACGGGACCGTGGCCCAGGATGTCTAAGCCAAATAAACTCTTTTCCTTCCCAGGTTGTTTTTGGCCAAATGTGTTTTCATCACAACGATAGAAAACAAACTGGAGCAATTATGAAGATTTGGATTCCGTAGGCATAGATCTGAACCAGCTCTGTCCAGACTGGCCTGAAATCGATTCAGAGTTCACCGAGGTGGGGTGGGGGTGGGGCATTGCTGTGATGTCTCACCCCAGCATAGGCCCCCTGTGTGGAGGCAAAGGACCCCACTGTCCTTTCCGGTGTGGTGACCTGGACGGGTTCAGGATCATCTGGAGAGGGGAGCTGCCCCGAGACCCACACAGTCCACTCTCATTAGGACCACTGCAGACCTTTCTTTTTTTTGGTTTTTCGAGACAGGGTTTCTCTGTGTAGCTTTGCGCCTTTCCTGGAACTCACTTGGTAGCCCAGGCTGGCCTCGAACTCACAGAGATCCGCCTGGCTCTGCCTCCCGAGTGCTGGGATTAAAGGCGTGCGCCACCACCACCCGGCTCAGACCTTTCTTACAACAAGGACCCCTACACCAGCCGGTGCCGCACCCCTAGAAGCCCCACGGAGATGGGAAACTGGCCAGACCACGTGACCGGGACACCCCGTGTCCGCCCATACGTCCTTGCAAATCGGCTCTTGGGAACTCACGGCGTTCTGAACAGACACGAAGTTGTTCAACAGCAGCAGATTCGTCCACCAGACTCGCCGGCAGTTATCCCAGTGGAACTGCGGCACCTCCCAGACAGGTCCCCAGGGAACCAAGGAGAAGAGTCCGACCAGCAAGCACACTGAGTACAGGTGAAGAAGCTGCAACCTGGCGGAGAGAAGCGGGAGAGACGATGACGCCGGGAAGGTGGTGCCGTGGACTCACCTCCGCGGGCACACAGGAGACGGGAGGGATGCTTTCAGAAACCCGTGACACCGGTGGGCAGCCTCAAGGGCCCACAGTCTTGCTGAGCGGCCCAGGGTGGGCTGCTGGCTGCGAAAGCCATTTATGTCACCATCGAAACGGGAGCTTTCGGGGTTCCTAAAACTTGAGATAATCCTGTCCGGCAGCTCTTTTTTTTTTTTTTTTTTTTTTTTTTTTCGAGACAGGGTTTCTCTGTGTTGTTTTGGTGCCTGTCCTGGAACTCGCTCTGTAGCCCAGGCTGGCCTCGAACTCACAGAGATCCGCCTGTCTCTGCCTCCTGAGTGCTGGGATTAAAGGCGTGCGCCACCACCGCCCGGCCCGGTAGTTCTTATTCCATCTCAAATTACAGCCCAGAGAAGTCAGAGTGACTCGTCCACAGTCACTCATCCGTAAGATGGGTACAGCTCATGTTCTTCCCATATGCCTCATGAGACCAAACTTCTTTCCTCCCTCCTTTCCTCCTCTTCCTTTCTTCCTTCTTTGCTGTACACTTTTTCATCCTTCTAAGCGGGATTTGACACAGCTACAGACTGATGATTAATACACAGGGTCCAGGACTGGTCACGTGACTCAGTTGGTAGAGTCCTTTTCTAGCGTGCGCAGAGCCCTGGGGTTTGATCCCTGGTTCGACATAAACTGGATATGTTATGTTAGTACATGCCTGTCATCCCACAACTCAGCAGAATCAGAAGTTCAAGACCATCCTCGACTACACCGTGAGAGAGAGGCCAGTCTGGACTACATGAGACCCTATCCCAAAAAAAGAAAATAAGGAAAAGTAAAAAATACATATATACATTGTCTTAGTTAGGTTTCTGTTGCTGCGAAGAGACACCATGACCACAGCAACTCCTGGCAGCTTATAGTTTCAGAGGTTCAGCCCATTATCATCATGGCAGGTAGCATGGCCGGATGCAGGCAGATGTGGTCCTGGCTACATCTTGATATGCAGGCCACAGGAAGTGGACTGAAAACTGGGCAGGATCCTGAGCATATGAGACCTTAAAGCCTGCCCCTACAGTGACACACTTCCTCCAACAAGGCCACACCCACTCCAACAGAGCCACACCTCCTAATAGTGCCGCACCCTCTGAGTTTAGGGTGGGGGTGGCGGCGCGGGGAGGGGGTGGTAATTACATTCAAACTACCACATACATGGTCCAGATCAGTGGGATGCAAAAGATAGAATAAGACAATCTGCCACTCACCAGGGATTTCCCAGTTGCTACACTTCTAAAGCTAAAGAAATATTAACTACAACGAACTTAAATATTGCTTCTTTAGCTGATGGACTCAAAATATGATCATTAAAGACTACTAACCAACATAAAATTTATTAAGAAGATAGCTGCTTCTTGGAGTACGTAGTATCTCTCAGTTGACCACTGTGTCCGGTAACTGCAGAGTGGACGGCACATATGGAAGTTGGAAGAGAGGGCGTGGTTGGGAGGGATGCGTGATTGTGGCATGGGGTGGAGCTAAAGTCAGAGCCCTTGCTGGTTGGTTGGCTGGATTCTGCAGACAGACTCTTTTTTATGTATTCCAGCGTGATCTCAAACACTTGATCCTCCTGCCTCTGCCCTCCTGGTGCTGTGATTTCAGGCGTGCTCCACTATGTCCCCACAGAAGCCCTCTTTTACGGTTTTCCATTTTTCACGTGTGTATGAGGTGTGCATGTGTGTGTACATAGGTTTTTGCATGTGTGTGGGCACACCCGAGTCAGGGTCGATGTGCGCTTGTGTGACTGAGCACATGGAGGCCTAAGATTGTAAGGAAATTGTCCTTTATCACTCTTCCACCTTATCCATGGAGCCAAGGTATCTTAATCAAACCCAGAGCTTGCTGATTTGGTTAGTCTAGCTAGGTAGCCAGCTAGCTCTGAGAATCCCCTGTCGCCATCTTCTGGGGCTGCCATGCCTCCCAGGCATTTTACTTGGGTCCCTGGGGAGTCGGTCACTTAGGTAACACTGACCACATCCCCAGCCCCAGGAGCCCTCTTTTTAAGAGATATTTTTAGCTACAGTGTGGCTCAGTGGTAGAACAAGTGCTTAGTAAGGACAAAACATTGGGTGAGATCCCCAGTGCCACAGGATAGACAGACAGATGGACGGACAGGTAGACAGACAGGTAAAGAATACATTTGGAAATTTAGGGTGGTTTTTCACTCAAGTAGAGCAGAGCCCCTGGTCCCACAGCCCCTCCAAACAAATGGATAAGAGCCCAGGGCGGGGTGAGGTCTGACAGATGGAAGCTGGCAGGTCTTGGCACAGCCCTACTTAAAGGTGCCCATGACAGTGGAGGACTAACCTGATCTTCTGGTCACCCGGGGAACAGGCCTGTTGCCTTCCTTCCCTGCAATGGCAGCATCCTCCATACACAGTACCCCAAGAGCACTCAGGCACAGGGATGGAATTATGGAGCAGTGTCACCGAGGAAAAGCAGGTAACTGTGTCCCAGATCTGCTCACCTGCCTTTGCTTTGGAGCCAATCTCCCTGAGGCCTGCAGCCTGAGGCCGGCCAAGCCTGCCAGCAGGAGGAAGTCCCTGCAGCTGCTATTGCAGGCCTCTATCTCCAGGAAACCTGCCTGGATTCCCTTCCTGTCACGTGTCTCCTCCTCCTCTCTGGGAGAGAATCAGCCCCTGAACCTTTCAGGAGCAGGGCTTAAGACACATGCTTTGGGAGGGCACGTGCTACCCCACCCACTCTGACTAGCATCTTCACCCCTTGGCAATCCCTCCAGAGGATGGTGTTAAAGTGAAGTCTTCAAGCCAGTGGGCCATAGTTGGGAGTGAGGTTGAGCCTCTGGGTGGATGGGTAGAAATCCTGAATTAGGTGGGCTAGGGAACCGAACCAGAAAGGCACGTTTGAGTAGTTTTGCCTAAATCATTCACATGTGTGAAGGTCATCTCAATTTTGTCTCCTTCCTCCCCTATACAAAGAGGGTGATGATCACTGCCTCCTAAGATCCTGGGAGAATCCTGTGAGGTAAATAAGGCAATAGAGTGAAATGTCTTCGATGCCACAGAATTAGACCTGTGCTACATTTTTGTCCTGGTTGCTAGGAGAATGAAAGGTCTTGGCCTGCGTCACGGAAGTATGAGAAGCAGATATGTGCCTATCTGGTGGGTAGGATGGATAAACAGGAAAAAACATACATGTACCAACTCCATTTGCAGGGATTTACCCTATAAGCATGCCCACCAAAACCTCCCCACTCAGACCTGCCCATCCCATCCTGCCCACCCAAATCTCCCCATCCAGACCTGCCATATATATCACTTTCTAATCTAAGAAAGCAAAAAGCTTGGAAACTTCCTCCATATCCATCAGTGGGGTCAACTTAAATACACAATGGTCCACTATATACAAAGCCCCATAGGTCACGTCAGTGGTGTGGGTCCTGTCAATAGAGAATACACTAGGGCTGTGACATTAAATGAAAAAACCACATGCAGAACAGGATGGTGTCTAAGTCAACTAAGCCACCTCCCTGGCCCCTTAGCTATGAACCTTTAAGTGTGACTCCTAGTTGGAGAGAACAGGCAGTGCTAAGACCCCAGAACATCTCCTCTACTTCCCATTTGACAATACCGATCCAGTTTACACCCAGAAGGTGGGCGAGTGGGTGGATTATTATTATTATTATTATTATTATTATTATTATTATTATTATTATTTTATTATTTTCCAGATAGGGTCTCACTATGCAGCTCTGGCTGTCTTGGAACTCACTCTGTAGACCAGGCTGGCCTTGAACTCACACAGATCCACCTGCCTCTGCCTCCTGAGTGCTGGGATTAAAGGCGTCAGCCACCACTACCCAGCTTGTGTTTTCTTATGAAGCAGTAGCTTCCAGCCCACCTCCTGATTTCCCACCCCTGCTCCATTCCAGTGCCCTTACTGCCTGGCAGGCAGAGGATTGCTTGCAGCCTGCACATCTGACGCCATGCCTCCCCTGCTGGTGCTCTCTAGAGGGTTCTGTCCTGGAATAACCTCAGAAGAAAGTGGAGAGAGAGAGTGCGGAGAGCGTGGTTGCCCCTGGGTCTAGTCCTTCACCTTCGCCCTCCATGACCTCACCCCGGCTGTTCTCCCCACACCCCCAACTTCCACACCCCACCTGCCAGCAAAGAGCTTGGGGGGCTCCTCAGCTTCCCCAGCCACTCCAACCACACTCTGTCCTCGGGGCTTTTGCACTCTGTTACCCCTGAATGGATTGCTCTTGGCTTCTAGCATTTTCTTTGTGTGGAACATTCCTTTGCTTCTTTCAAGATCCTGGGCGAAAGTCACATTTCCTTGCTCCCCTTCAGGAGGTTGGCCCACCCCACTTCTGTCTCTCAATTCTCTTTTTAAGGCTCTCAGATTACTGGTCTATTCTGTGTTTATTTACATACTGCACTTTAATGATAGATTATTTATTTCTTATGTATCTGCATTTACTAGAATGTAACCTCCACTGGAAGGATTTTATTTTTGTTGGGTTAATAAAATGTTGAATCATCAGATCTTAAAACCATGCCCGATACACAGTGGCCTGTGATGAGTTAATAGTGAAGCCATCTTAGCCATTTTATCTCCTGTCCCCCCCCCCCTTTTTTTTTTTTCTTATATAGCCTAGGCTGGCCTCAAATTCACTAGGTAGTCAAGGCTAGCCTTGAACTCCTGATCTCCCAACTTCCATCTTCCCAGTGCTAGGGTTTTAAGTGTGCCCTACCATACCCAGCTTATCACCTGTCCTCTTGAAGGGATAAATCCTACATGAATAGGAACAACGAGTTCTGAATTCATAAATGAGAACATCCTAATTGCCAGGGGCATGACTATCCTGCCCCTGAGGATCTTGGGAAGGGCTAGGCCAGGATGAGGTTAGCACCACCCACCTCCATTTTTCAATAAAGTTTTGGCTCAAGTTGGAGTCATTCTCTTCCCTGCTCTGACTCAAATCCCTACGCTTCCAGAGTTCTTTGTCTCAGCCTTGTTATTCAGGTTAGGAAATTCGCCTGCCTTTGAGTTCCCATGTCCCCGTTCCCACTGCCAGGGGCCAGATTCCAGGGTTCCACACTTCATCTTGTTCACAAGTCATATCATCATCACCCGCTCCCACCCAGTGACCTTGTGCCCCCCAACCATGGCTCCCTCTGCCCGGAAAAAAACTTTCTCCCATTTCCCAAGTTGTTCTGTTCCAAAACAAGCTTTCCACGCTCCTGGTTCCCTCACCCCGAACTAAGCTGTTCTGAACCTGGGGCCCGGAGTGGCAAGCCCTCCATTCCAGGCAAACCTCAGGCAGGACGGGTTGCTTAACCAGAGCCTCATACTCGAAAGACTCGGAAATCCTGCATTTCCCCTCCCATCCCCCACCCCCTTCACCAGGAGGAGGGGGGCTGCATTGATAAAGCTCAGAAGAAACCACAAACCACAGTGAAAAGAAGCAGTGCTGGTCTACTCCTAGCCCCTCCTCATTCTTCACTTACAGAGAGAAAGGCAGACGAGGCTCGGGTACCAGCAAGAACAGGGACGAGGCGTGTACTCACTGGGGGCTTACTGTCTATCCTGAACCTTTCGAAGTTCTTCGTGTACATTTTCTCATCTCACAAGAGTCCTACAAAGTGACACTAGTTTCACTACCACGACCTCGATTTTTTTCTTTTTTCTTTTCTCTTCTTTTTTTTTTTTTTTTTTTTTTTTTTTTTTTTTTTTTTGAGACAGAGTCTCAGGAAGCCCAGGCTAGTCTCAAGCTCTCCATGTAGCTGAGGATGACCTTGAACTTCCAGTCCTCCTGGTTCCTTCTCCAGAGTGCTAGGACTCCAGACAGAAACTATCACTCCAGATTTATGTGGTGCTTGAGACTGAACCCAGATCTTCAGACAAGTAATGTACCAACTGAGCTACATCCCCAGCCCCTAATTTCATTTTATAGATAAGAAAACTGTGGGAGCCCCTTTTCAGGTTCCTCGTGGCTTTACCCAGCAGGTCCGCATAGAAAGGATGATTAGGACCACGGGCCTGAGTGCAGGTGTCTGAGATGGTCTGCACTTGGCTGTGCTGGGGGGAGGTCAGGGCTCATTGGAATAGGTTCCAGGCCCTCTCAAGGCTGTCCTTTATTTTCTATCTGTTTCTCTCCACATTCTAAACCCTTGTATCTAATATTTCCTGATGGCTCGTACTCAAGAAAACTCTGGGGAACTGTGGGGTTGGTGGGTAGACGCCCCCGCAGAAAACCTAAGTACAGAAAGGCTGGGACAGTCACGTAACTGGTGCATAGTTAAGCCGGGACACAGGCCAGCAGTGGAGCCCTGGTATCTGTTCCTGCCCACGCCCATTTCCCCAGCCCTGGGGATCATTTTAACTCTTTCCTTGACAGAGTGGTGGTTAGTTTTAATATCAATTCGTTACAAATTAGAATCACCTGAGTAAGGGAGCTTCAACTCAAGAATTGTCCTGACTGCCTTAACGGATGTGGGAGGACCCACGCCAAATGTAGGTGGCACCTTCTGGCGGCAGTCCAGATACAAAGGATGCCAGAAGACACGGTGTTTGCCTTCAGTCCACTTGGCCTTCCCTCTTGCTGCCGAGTTAACTCACCCTGGTGCTGCTGATGATGATGATGATGATGATTCCTTCACTGATAGCTGAACCCACATTTCCGGGTTTCCTTCATAGGCTAAAGGCCAATGGCTCTCCAGGTTCTCAGCACCAATTTGGGACTGCTAAGTCACCAGCCTTGTGGTCTGAGCAACTGCCTGGTTCTCAGCCTCTCAGGTGTGAGACAACTATAGTTACTATTTCAGTGAGAGTGGGTTTAGTAAATTCTTTTGATATATGACATGTGATATATATATTATCATACATGTGAATATATATATATTCATCCTATTGATTCTGTTTCTCTAGGGAACACTATATAGTGTAGTATAGCAAGATGGAATGCAGGGAGCTGGGTTCTGGTTCAGTCCAGCCATGTCTGGAGAGCAGGAGCTGAGGTGTCCTCTCCCTTTAACTCCAACTCTCCCATTGCATCCCTGCCATCACTGTTTTGTACTCTAAACCAATATCAGAAGTGCTTCCTGCTGTGGGATGGTCTATATGTCAAATTGCTCTGATTGGTCAATAAATAAAACACTGGTTGGCCAGTGGCCAGGCAGGAAGTAGGTGGGACAAGGAGAGAGGAGAATTCTGGGAAGCAGAAGGCTGAGGCAGAGAGACACTGCAGCCGCCGCCATGACCAGCAGCATGTGAAGGTGCCGGTAAGCCACCAGCCACGTGGCAAGGTATAGATTTATGGAAATGGATTAATTTAAGCTATAAGAACAGTTAGCAAGAAGCCTGCCACGGCCATACAGTTTGTACGCAATATAAGTCTCTGTGTTTACTTGGTTGGGTCTGAGCGGCTGTGGGTCTGGCGGGTGACAAAGATTTGTCCTGACTGTGGGCAAAGCAGGAAAACTCAAGCTACAGCTTCCTCTTCAACCAACCACGGATTGCCTAATAAGGAAGCACGGCCCTGACCCGAGCCTCACCTAACACCGTTCCTTGCCATGTGTTATTTTTACCATCAGACTGGCACGCTGACTTCCAGGATCACTTGCAGCTACACCACTTCTCTCCTGCAGAACACAGATCCCATGGAAGTGGATAGGGCATCTATGGAACTCTACTCCCAGCCAGCCGAGAACGTGTTTGCTGATGGAAGACACCAGTTTTCCATGACCTTTGCCATCATGGAAGTTGAACTATTTTAAGCCAGTCAAATGCAAACATAATTAAGGAAGAAAACTGTTTCTTTCAAAGACTCTTTCTAAACAGGGTTGGACATTGAGAAATACCTATTTCATAGCCAATAATGAATTGAAATATTACATAAGTTAACCTACCTTGTAAAACGTTTGAGAAAGTATCTGAGCATGACTTTAGGGGTTATTCCCGCATTTGTGTTCCGGTGCATCTTTAGAAATGACCTTGCACTTAACCAACCACTAGGAGAGAGAAGAGAGTAGCCTCAGAAGTCAGTTAGCAATAATAGAGTTCATCAGTGAGCTGCCTCGGTTGTCTCAGTCAGGACAGGCTAAGGGATGCTGCAGTGACAAGGTAGACCCATGCCTTAAAGCAGCAGACTTTTGATTCTGTGTTTTGTTTCACTTTGGTTCTGTTTTTCTCATACAGTATATTCATAGCCTGTTGGCCAAGTCTCAGAGTCTTCTTTACTATGGGCTAACGGGACAATGAGTGCTCACAAATGACCACAGCAGCGAAACAAGAGAGCACTGGAGTGTCTCAACCCAACAACTCAATGTTGTAGCCTAAAGTGGCTCAGAAAGCTGTTGGAATAAGTGTGCGAGGGTTTCAACAGAAGGCTAGTGGCAAGATGAGGTATGACTTGTTAATTGGAGCCAGTAATGTGGTCCAAACACAAGCCCAAGCACCTGGAGCAAGGGTTCTCAACCTGTGGGCTGCAACCACTTGGGAATCAAACAACCCTTTCATGGAGATCACATATCCCCATGATATCTGATATACAGATATCCTGTATATCAGATATTTACGATAGTAGCAAAATCATAGTTATGGAGTAGCAATGAAATAATTTTATGGTTGGGGGTCACCACAACATGAGGAGCTGTATTAAAGGGTCACAGCATTAGGAAGATTGAGAACCATTGACTTGGAGGATGAAAGGTCAGGAATATTGGGCTAACAATACCAATAGCTGCCATGCTGTGTGCTCTCTCTCTCTCTTTCTGTCTCTGTGTGTGTTTATCTGTCTGTCTCTTTCTGTTTCTGTCTCTGTTGTATGGTTCATGCATGTCAGTATGTAAATACATGCTCCCATTGCCACTCATGCAGAAGTCAGGCAAAGACATCAGTGTCTTCCTCTGTCACTACCCCCCTTATGGTCTTGAGAAGAGTCTCCCACTGAACTAGGAGCTCACCATTTGGGGTAGACTGGCTGGCTAGTGAGCTCCCAGGATCTGCCCTCTCTGCCCCACAATGCTGGGGCACATGTGGTCATGCCCAGATTATTGATGTATGCTAGGGATTTGAACTCGACACCTCAGGCTTGCAGGGGCTCAAGTACTCTTCCACACAGATCCATCTCCACAGCCCTATAGGCCTTTTAAAGTAATACCGTGAAGGACTCCCAATGCTATATATAGCACCACACCATTTTCAAAATGCTTTCCCTAACAAGATTGCTTCAGTTCTCCGACCATACCCAACTTCCTCTAAATAAACATTTGTTGAGTACACAGGCAAACAGAGGGATGTTTGAATCTTATCAACAGCAAGAGGCAACATTTTTTTTTTTCTTTTACTTTTTTTTTTTTTTGCGGGGGTGGGGGTGGGGGGACAGGGGGGTTCAAGACTGGGTTTCTCTGTGTGGCTTTGGATCCTGTCCTGGAACTCACTCTGTAGACCAGGCTGACCTCGAACTCACAGAGATCTGCCTGTCTCTGCCTCCCAAGCGCTGCCACCACTGCCCATCGAGGAAACATTATTATTCCCGTTTTTCCAAGCAGGGAAAGCGACACTCAGATTACTAATTGGGCTGCTCAAGAACACAGAATTCCAGTTTTGTTGCTTTGATTTTGAGACATGGTCTCACATAGCTCCCAATGGCCTCAAACCCCTGATGTAGCTGAAGTTGACCTTGAACCCTTGATCTTCCTGTTTCTACATCTCAAGTGCAGGGATTACAGGAAGATCATAGAATTCTTAACAGGCACATTCTCATAGTGAATTCCCCACCCAAACGTCAGCTTTGAGTTACAGCTTGGTGGTGAGCAGGACTGTGAGTTCCTTCACCTTCTGGCATTCAGCCCTCTGATCCTTATGGGATTCCTCGGAACAGCAAATGTGTTTCCTGTTGCACAGCAAGGATGCCTGTGTTGGGCCCTACTTGGAAGGGATCCTGCTGGGTTGGGGAATGCCTCTTCGACTTCCTTTGAAAAGCAGCAGGCTGGATTCCTTATAATAGGAACCAAATGCATAAAAGACATCTAAATGAAAGCCCTGAGAGCTGGAAGTAGGGCAGCCAATTCTGATTCTGGCCTCCTCTTCATCTCAGGAAAGGGTGAATCTGGGCCATTCTTTCTTCTCAGAGTGCCTGGCACCCACTGGCAGGCAGTCTTTGCTAAGCAGGGCTGGCTCTTGTTCTGTGTGTGGGAATGTACTGCTTAGCCCACGAGGAGGGGCCACTGAAATGAGGGGAAACAGGCTGTGAGTCCCAGAGTCCTGAACGGTCTGGGGAAGGGGAAATCACTCCTCATAGATTAGTATGACGCTAACCCAAGAGGTAGGAAAGGATTTCAAAAGAGTGGATCACAGCTCTCCTCCAGGGTAACTGGAAATCTGTTTTTTCTGTATATCGGTGATCGAGGGTCAAACATGAGACCCAAGAAACAAACTGCAGCAGAATACCCTAATCTGAAATGTGTGGACCCCGGTGTGGGTTAGCATTTGGGAATGCTTGCACACATCTAATGAGGTATTGGAGATGAAGCCCGAGGCTAAGAACAAGTTCTACAGGTTATATATAGGCCTGAAGATGATTGTAGACAATATTTTTGACACGCCTATGTTTTGTCTGGGACCTATAACCCGTAGAATTTCCCACTTAGGGTATTTTGTTAGCACTTTAAAAGCTGCAGATTTTGAAATATTTTGGGTGTCGGATTTACAGGGATACTCAACTTGTATTCTTAAGTTCTGATTCTGACCTTAATAGTATGGGCAAATTATTTTGTTTCTGGACCTTGAATTTATTATCTGCAAAAAAACGACGATGATACTCCATTATTCAATAGTGTCTGTGGGAAGTGGGAGCTGGAGAGACGGCTCAGCTGTTAACAGAACTAACTGTTCTTCCAGAAGACCCAGGTTCAATTCCCAGCATCCACAAGGCGGTCCACACCATCTGTAACTCCAGTTCCAGGGGATCTGACTCCCTCTTCTGGCCTCCTCAGGCACAAGGCATGCACATGGTACATGAATATATATGCAGGCAAAACACTCATAAACATAATTTTTTAAAAAAATTAATTTTTAGAGTAAATGTGAAGGGCTGGAGAGATGGCTCAGTGGCTAGCTGCTCTTCCAGAGGACCTGGGTTCAATTCCCAGCACCCATAGGGCAGCTCACAACTGTGTGTAACTCTAGTTCCAGGGAACCTGACACCCTTTTTTTGCTCTTCTGGGCAGCAGGCACATGTGTGGCATGCAGGCAAACATGCAGGCAAAAACCGTACCCATATACATAAAAATTAAGTAAATAAAAAATACATGTGGTATATGTGTGTTTTGTGTATGTGGTGTGTGGTGTACATTGTGTAGGTAGTGTATGTTATATGTGTGTTTTATATGTTGTGTGTGTGAAATGTATGTGTGTATAGTGTATGTATGTGGAATGCATGTATGTGGTATGATGTGTGTGTTGGTGTGTGTTCATGTGTGTTGTGTTATGTATGTGTATATGCGTGATGTGTATGTGTGGTATATGTGTGTTTGTATATGTGTGTGCATGTGTGTGTGTATAATGTATGTATACGGTGTGTGGGTGTGTGTGTGGTATGCATATGTGTGGTGTGTATGTATGTGTATATGTGTGGTGTGTGGTATATGCATATATGTATATGTGTGTGGTATGTACGTGTATGGTGTGTGTGTGTGTGTGTGTGTGTGTGTGTGTGTGTGTGTATGTGTGTGTGATTCAGGTACTCATATAGAGGCCAGTGTATCCATCCCCTGCCCAGCTTCTTACATGGGTAGAGGAGATTCTAACTCAGATCATCTTGCTTGCGGAGGAAGACTGTTACCCAGTGATCCTACTCCCCAGTGAGCCATGCACACACACATATGCACCACAGATGCACACATCACATATGTGTAAATTTGAAATGAAAGAACCATCTGAAGTAATAACATAAACCCAGCACTTGGGAGGCAGAGGCAGGTGGATCTCTGAGAGTTCGAGTCCAGCCTGGTCTACCAAAAAAGTTCTAGGACAGCCAGGGCTACACAGAGAAACCCTGTCTTAAAAAATAATAATAATAATAATAATAACAAAATAAAATAAAAACTAGAGGGAAACAGGCAATCACAGAATGATGCTGAGGAATGGAAACAAAGAGACAAAGCAAAGAGGAACGTCGTTCTTCATCTCTGACCCACTGTGCCATCCCACTGCCTCTGCGCTCCTCCGCTCCAACACCCGGGTTCACCCTGTGCTTCACAGACCAGAGTGGACGTCAGGATCATCTGGAGGGCTGGTGATACCCTGCACTGCTGGTCTCACCCCGCGCATCTAGGGAGGGGCCTGCGAGCCTGCATCCCCAGCAGGAATTACTCCAGGAATAAGAGGCTCAGCATCCACAGTCCATATGAGCAGAAGGCATCTCTCTCTGCTTGCAATATTCCCAGGCCTTCGGTATTTACAACCCTGCCCTGGGGCACCCGGTGGACCCTACGTTACCTGGTGGCTTCTTGTGTCATTTATCAAACTCTTAATAGTTTTAAGAAGTTACAAAATTAAGAAAGAGATTAGGCAATTTTAGGTCAATCCTTTAAGAGAGTGTGACTCTGTGAGCCTCACACTGTTTTGCTATGTCTTTTCCTTCACATTTTGCTGGAGTGAGAACTGGAAATTTTAGTCTGAATCTACACCACTTCCTAGAGCTTGGGAACCACTGAAATGAATGATTTTAACAAATAGAATCAACGTGTGTGGGCTGTTGAGATGGCGCAGCAGAGTAAATGCCTGCCGCCCAGCCCGATGACCCGAGTTCAACTCCCGGAACCCACACAGTGACACGAAAACTAACTTCTGCCAGCTCTCCTCTGACCAGCACACATACGTCATGACATACATATACCAACATAATACATACAGACACATACATGTACACACACGTATAAATAAAAGATAATAAAAATATTTTCAAAATTCAACTTTCATAAAAGGCCATTTTCCAGCATCATTTTAACTCATGGATGAAACTGAGGACACCCCAGAGGGTAGCTGTGACCACTGCGCTATCCAGAAATAAACAGAAGCCGAGCCCCAGGTGAATCGATGAGTGCCGATGGCCTTTTCCCCAGAAGGGGAGACTGACAACCCTCCCCCACACCCGCATCTCTTCACAAGCATCGCAGCAGAGACTGCACGTCAACCTCGTCACCTGATCAGGAAAAACGTGTCCACCCCGACGTAGAACGGGCCACTCCGAGAGTAGAGGTAGAGCGGGTGCGCCGGCACTCTGGCCTTCCATTCAAGCACATTATCTATAACAGATACGCAGAAAAGCAACGTCTTTTAGTTCAGCTGGGGGAAACCAGAGGACTTCACTTTGAGAAAAAAGCAAGAGGTATGATCTCAACATCTGTTTGCACTGAGCTGTAGCAACAATGTCAGGGGTGACTGAGGCCCCCGTCACCCGGGCTGTGTGCTCCTTTGTGCTCTTATGATGCCCACAGCCCTCTGGGACTCTCACAGAGTTAAGGCAGGTGCCCATCTCCTCAGAGTCTCCCTGTAACTGCCGGTCTCTAGTTCTGATTCACCTGCTTGGTCCCCTGCTGAGAGATGACCTTTGTTACTGGATGATGGACATTGAAGTATGGATGAGGGACTTCAGGGTGTGGCAATGTCCAGAAATGGTGACTTTCCATGGATGTGCCACATTTGGTTATACTTGCCTAGTCTTCAGTAACGGGGAAAAGCTACTTCCTGTCTTAGTAGACAGAGGGAGCCCACAATGGCCAAATACCACCGGGTACCTGGTTTCTACCGAGGGAAGTGGCAGTGATTGCAGCCCTGGGAAACTTGGCACAGGAAGTCTCAGTGCGTCACTAGAACAGAAGGAAGGCTGGCTGTTCCCGAGACAGCTGTCAGGGTCCTATCCCGTGGCCCACCGCTAGCCCACATAGAAGGGGCTCTCTTTCCCATGGGTGCCGGAGAAGAAGCCGGTCAGCTCCCCATACCCAAAGACAGCCAAGCGGTCATCTGACTGGTGTGCCCCGAGACAATCCAAAGGAGACTCAGGACTCGGATCCCGTTCAGTGTCTGGCAGGTGCCTTCCGGCAGCTCTGGGGGACAGATGGCCAGCATGTTCTTTTGCCAAGAAAAGCACTGTAGAGCTCCATCCACGGCTCCTAGAAACCCTGAGCAAAAGTGGAGCTATCATCAGCCCTCATGTAAACCAGACCCATCCAGACACCACCCTAAGGTAACCCAAAACGCACGCAGAGACCTCTCAGACTCTGGCTCAGAAACTGGAGTGCTCAACTCAGGCTTCCCACAGTCCCCTCAAGATCTGTCTCTGGGCTCTCGTACCTGTCCTTTGGACCTTGACTCCCCCTACTATTCTTGACCCGACATTGGTGTTCCATGATGCCTTGTGTTGCCCGAGCTCAGGCACCAAGGGATATCTTACTGGGTTGCCTCATTGAGCCTTGAAATGAAAGAATGTGCCTAGTCTTATGGCAACTTGTTATGCCAAGTTCGGTTGATATTCCTGGGAGGCCTGCTCTTTTCTGAAGGGAGGAGTAGATCTGGGAGAGATGGGGGAAGAGTGACTGGAAGAAAAGGAGGAGGAAAATTGTAGTCAGGATGTAATATATGATAAAAGCATAGATAGATAGATAGATAGATAGATAGATAGATAGATAGATAGATAGATAGATAGGCAGGTAGGTAGAGTAAATGCCAAGAAAATTCATGCAGATCAGGGGGATCTCAGTTTAGGGGAGGAAACTAAAGACCCATGTTGATGCCTGATACTTAATACATGTATCTGCTTTAAGTCAGGGATGGATCCTAAGATGGGCATCTGAGGTCCAGCCTGGCATTGTTGAAAGCGGTGGAGTTGTGCTGTCTGTCAGTTCACTACAGTGAGACAGAGCCTCTGGAACAGCTGGGCCTGCTGCTTGCTCAGCAAGATCAGGGCAGCCCAGCAGGAGGTCTTGGCACAGGCCTTCTTTTTTCTCTTCCAGCTAAACTACAGAGACTAGGGGAAGGGTGAATTTAAGAGGCAAGCACATATCATTGCACCGAACTCCATCAACTTATCCCATGTTGTCTCTTTTCGCTACCATGCTGAACTTGGACCTGTCTATAGGACAGCCAGGTGCAGAGAAAGATCTACAGCCACATCACAAGAGGTCACTCTAGGCTTCTGGAACCTGGAAAAGCCCATCGTTACATGTGATGGGGTTGTAATATAACCAACAGAGTGGGCCTACCTCCAGGGCTCTGTGCAGATACTCTGTGCAGACTGACATTGCCCCCCTGCAGGCAGATCTGCATCCCATTCTGCATGGGAACTGGTCCCCAGAATTCTATGCCTGCTGAGCAGCCTTTCAGACTAGCTCTGTCTTTTATTGCTTTTTTGATATTGGGGTTTATGTCAACTGTTACTATAATTAAGTCACTGTCGATGCTGATTTTATGTAAAATTCAAATAAGATCAGAGAAAAATCATTGCTATGCTTTCCATGTGGGACATACTCCTTGAAGCTACTTAATTACATATTCATATTTACCCTGCCAACTCCCTGAGATTTTTGAGGTTTTTTTTAAGCCCCTTTTAGAGCATGGAAAGACAATTTTGAAAACCTGAGGGAAATTTGTTGAAAATTACTTCATATAGATGAAAGGTATTTGCATGAACAGGCAATTTTTGAATGGTGTGAAGATGGCAAGTATGTAGGTAAGTAGATAGATAATAGATTTAGATAGAAGTTAGATAGATAGACAGACAGACAGATAGACAGATAGAAGATAGATGATAATGTCTATCTATCTATCATCTATATATCTATGTTTTTCCCTTTCATATAAGCTGGTGGAAATGAAGCTAATATTCTCTCTCTCTCTCTCTCTCTCTCTCTCTCTCTCTCTCTCTCTCTCTCTCTCTCTGTGTGTGTGTGTGTGTGTGTGTGTGTGTGTATGTGTGTGTCTGTCTGTCTGTCTGTCTCTCTCTCTCCTCTCTCTCTCAGAGTCATACTATGTAGTAGTCCTGGCTGGCTTCAAAACCACAGAAGATTCTTCTGCCTCTGACTCTTGAATTTTAGCATTAAAGGAATATGCCACCATGGCCCTTGAAACTAATATTCTTCATTATTCACCAAAGCATAACGTCGAGGGCCCAATCGAGTCATCATTTTGTTACATTGGGGTTGAGTCATCTATTTCGGACTCAGATACATTGATTAGCTTTGCTTGCACATTCACCCCTGGCAGTTGTACATGAATTTACATAAATCTATAGAACTAAAAATAGCCTTGATCATAGAATCTGTTCCCAGGGGCAGAACTACAGCGAGCCCCTACCTCTCAACTGACCCAGGCTTTGGTCAGCACAAAAACACACTGGATAATTGTACCCGACATAATTCATCATTGTTAGGGACTTCGCCTTGCCTTAGCACCCTGAGGGTAAACAAAGACTGAATTGTAAACAGTGGAGATCCAGCCTCTCCTGACATTTAGGAGCTGCTGGGCATTCACTAGAATCCAAACCGGAGGAATTATTTTCCAACCACACGCTTCTCTAGGTCATTTCTCTGGGGTGGTCCTAGTTTAAAATGCTTACTTTTTCCTCTGCTCAGGGGTCCTGGCGGGGAGAGATGAACTTGGCAATTGGTCTGTGGTCTCCTGCTTCTTTGCCCATCGCTCTCCACATTTCTCAAAGGCAGATTCTCACAGCCTGCCGAAGTCCCGTGTGCCGGTGATGGCCTGAGGTCCAAGCCCCAGTTCCTGGCCGCCATGTAAACAGTCCCCACCACAGGAAGGACAAGGCCTAGCAAGGTGATGAACCTGCAGAAAGAAGACACCTGGCCAGGCCTTCACACAACACCAAAGATGCCAAGAAAACAACCCCAAGAGAAACAAAATCACCAACTGGACATGGAGGCACTCCTGTAACCCCAGCATACTAGAGGCTGAGTCAGGAGGCTCCTGAGTTCGAGGCTAGCTAATATGCAAAGAAACATGATGTCTCCCAAAGGAAAACATGACAGCAACAAGAAAAACATAAAAATTGCCAGAGGAATACTTAACAACTTAAGAAAAGGGGCTGAAGAAAGTTCATGAGATAAGAATGCATGCACATTGTTCTTGCAAAGAACCAGGTTCCATTTTCCCAGCAACCACAATGGGGGCTCTCGACCTCCTGTAACTCCAGTTCAGGTGATCTAATGCCCTCTCCTTCCATGGCACCTACACACATATGTTCCACATAATCTCACACAGACATACACATACACATATTTTTTTTTTAAAAAAAATACATCTTTTAAAAATTCTAAGAATAAAAGTAATGGGGGAAAATCACAATAGAAAAGATGAATAAATTTCACTCACTCTTAGCTTAGAAAATTATCATAAGTATCACTTCTCAGCATTTTGGCTAAGGTGGAGTGAAAATTACTATAAACAGACAAAACAAAACCAAAACCCTGAGAAAAACATTTGTAGCAGTATATCTAGGGATAAACAGCCCATATAAAGATGATGAACTTAAAAAAAAACAAAAAAACAAGAAAAGCTCAACACACACACATACACAGAGACAGAGAAACAGAGACAGAGAAGAGGGTGGGAATCTTACAAAAGAAAAATACAAGTAACAAATAATCTCAGGGGAAAAGAAACCCTCCTCATCAGTTTTTTAAAAAGACATGACTTAAACATCTATATTCACCTATCAGACTGGTGTGGTATTCACAAGGATGGCTTTGATCCTGGTAAGGAGCTAATGTAGCGTGTATGGACATCCCTGCTAAGGCACTATAAACAAATGGTTCAGTTATCAAGACCTAGAATTATACTTCTTTTCAATGTGTGCCAAGAAATGATCAAAATGCAGAAAGGTGAAGGGCACATTGGTGCAATTAGTCAGGGGAGAGGCCAGGCTTCCAAGCAGAGAAAGGGGTTTTCAGCTTGGGAATGACTGCAGATGGATGCATTTGCTGGTGGTCCTGGACCCCACTGAAGTTGGAGCCTGGTCTGTCTTCCCTGGAGTGTTTCCATATTTCCTTGTTTAATGGTGATCTCCCTGTATTTTAGTCAACACAGGATGCTGTAACAAAATGCTGTGGGCTGGTAGCTTATGAACAATAGAACATGATTATTATTATTATTATTGTTATTGAAGCTGGGAGTCCCCAAATCAAGTCACCAGCAGCTGAGGAACCTCCCCTGGTTCCTTTAAAGAAGACACTAATCTCATTTGTAAGGGTGGTGCATCAGGGCCTAGTTACCTACTCCAGGCCCCACTTGACTCCATCACATTCGGGATTAAGTTTCAATGAAGGAATATCGGGGTGGACACCAAACTCAGATCACTGAACTTTGAAGCCAGACTGCATTGGCCAGTCATCATTCAGTGAATTAAATTCAACACTAAATGCAGTTGGTGAGAGAGGTTGATGAGAGGACACTGACATCACCCCCAGCTGGGTACCTCCGAGGCCCATACTTACAGACACACGGAGGCAAACGTGTCCAGCCGAAACACCCCAGCAGCACATCTGGCCACACTTTCACAAGGCAAGGAGGAAGAGTTTTTTGTAAAGAGGGAGAGGGAAGGTGCCAAAAACGAAGTATTTCTGAACCTTAGCATATCTACCAAGAGAGAAGAAGAGGCCATGTTACTGCGTTAGACCTTCCTGAGTGTATTCCTCTCACTGAAACACAAAGCTGGCATTTTAACGTGCATTGGCTTTCCAAGGTTGACAGTATTTTTAAGTTGTGTCTATACCGAACATGTACAGACTTTTCATCATTATTCTTTAAACGATGACAGTATGACTATAAAATAACTATGTGCATAGCCTTTCATTGGGTGTTATAAATAAGCTAGAGATGGTTAATGGTGCCCAGGAGGATTGTGTACGTTCTATGCAAACACTATGAAATTTTATATAAAGGCTTGAGCATCTGTGGATTTCAGTCTCCTGGGGGTCTTGGAACCAATCCACCATGAATACCAAAAACCAAATTTATCTGCCTTATGAATAGTGGGAGGGAAAATAAAAAACAAAGATGCCAAAGCGGGGTAGAGACGTGTGTCAGGGATTAGAAGTGAACACTGTTCTTCCAGAGGACCAGAGGCAGTTCCCAGCAGTCACATCAGACAGTCCACAGCGTCCTCTAAGTCCGGTTCTAGGGAATCTCACACCCTCATTTGGCCTCCACAGGCACCTGTACATACACACACACACACACACACACACACACACACACACACACACACACACACACCTTTAAAAAAAATGCTTAAAACATAAAAAGATGCTGAAAGCCACCTGTCTTCGTTAGAGTTTCTATTGCTGTGACAAACACCATGACCAAAATACACGTTGGGGAGGAAAAGGGTTTCTTGGGCTCACACTTCAGCATGGCTGCTCATCACTGAAGGAAGTCAGGACAGGAACTCAAATGGGGCAGGATCCTGGAGGCAGGAGCTGAAGCAGAGGCCATGAAAGGATGCTGCTTACCGGCTTGCTCCCCATGGCTTGCTCAGCCTGATTTCTTACAGAACCCAGGACCACCAGCCCAGGGATGGCACCAACCACCATAGGCTGGGCCCTCCCCCATTGATCACTAATTGAGAAAATGCCTTACAGCTGGATCTCATGGAGGCATTTCTTCAGCTGAGGCTCCTTCCTCTCTGATGACTCTAGCTGGTGTCAAGCTGACACACAAAACCAGCCAGCACACCACAGAACTACTAGGCATTTGACCCAAGCAGAAATGGAACAGACTCTTCTGAACTCTCAGTCCATTGATCTCTCACATCCCTTCTGGCACACAGCCCGGGAATGCTAAATCTAAGAAGGGGCTGGGACGGACTCCAGTCTCTTTGTGAGCAAATCTCTACACGAGAGACAAAAATATGCAGTAAAAGATGGAACAAAACAACGGAAGCCAGCCACTCTGGCATGGGCACCATCCAAAACTGAAGCTCAGAAACACCAGCTTAGGACAGAGCTGATGAATCCTTGGAAGAATCGATATGTAATGATCTTACTAGTGAGATTAGTGTTCTGTCTCAAATGTTCTGAGACTCAGAGAGACCCAGAGTGTGACGGGACAACTATTGGCCCTCTCCCTAGAGGCTTCGGAACTGGAAGTCTGGGAGTGATCTGGAATCTAGACTCTTGCAGTTCCCCAGGGCCACACTCAGAATCAGGACCTGGGCAAACATTGAAAACACATGGTTTCAAATAATGGTAATACCAATTGTTATTAACGGCCACAAACACTACAGTTCATTGAGTGCCTACAAGACATGAGGCATGGTTCCATCACTACTTGTAACTTTTACTAACCTACGAGAAGTGTCCACCTTACCTTACACATGGGAGAATTTGCCTCAGATAAGTTCATCACATTGACCATACTAGTTAAGAATACAGTTTTGGGAGGCTGGAGAGATGGCTGTGAGAGAGCATGATGTTCTTCCAGGGGGCCCAAGGTTCAATTCCCAGCAGCAGCAGCAAAAAAAAAAAAAAAAAAGGCTGCTGATGGCATTGTCATAGCAACCAGTAACTGGAAAGGTTTAAGGATGACGGTGAAAAAAAAAAAAAAAAAAAGGCTGCTGATGGCATTGTCATAGCAACCAGTAACTGGAAAGGTTTAAGGATGACGGTGAAATTGACCACTCAGAACAAACAGATACAGATACAGATAAGGTTGTACCTTCTACCTCTGCCCCACCATCAAAGCTCATAGGAAGCCATGGAGACAGAAAGGACCAGAAAACAGGAGGCACATTAGAAATAACGCTCTTGATGAGGTTGTCAATAGTTCCCTGCAGATGCCTCACCAGTTTTTTAGTCAAAGAACTTTCAGGAACTATTAATAAGATCCTGGGATAGGCTGGAGAGATGGCTCAGCGGTTAAGAGCACTGACTACTCTTCCAGAGGTCCTGAGTACAATTCCCAGCAACCACATGGTGACTTACCACCATTTGTAATAGGGTCTGATGCCTTCTTCTGGCCTGCGAATATACATGCAAAGCACTGGTACATAAAATATAAATAAATTAAATTAAAAAAGAAGAAGAAGATCCTCGGGGCTGCAGTATACGTGGCTGCCACTCTCATGACATGATAGTGATATCATCAGTGGCGCAGTGGAATGCTTCGGTAATTAAGAAGCAACAAGAGACATTGTTTCAATAAAAGATTACTGGACAAAAAAAAAATTTCCTCTTGAATCCTAGATAACTCCAGTTTCTCAGTCAGCGTTGGAAGAGGTGAGGGGAAACTAGCCTTGGCTGAGCCACAGGTCAGCTTGATTCTTTTAACAGGTGAAGAAGCTGTTCGAAATCAGCAGCCCTGATGCCAGGCAGTTCAGATCTCAAATAGTGGGAGCATCATAAAATGTCAGCACATTTCTGAAGGACAGACTCAGAGCGAGCCCCTGAGAATGGAAATGTGTAGCTCCAAATTGTTGATGGCAGATCAAATTTGCTGGCCCTGGTGTTAAACAGAGCATAGTGTGTTTGCAAGCCGAGGAGGTACTGTGTATCTACAACCCAAAGAGACATGGTGTGTCTATAGGCCAAAGAAACGTGGTTTGTCTCCAAGCCAAGGAGGCAAGGTCTATCTGCAAGCAAATGAGCATCAAGACCTGCTGGCAGCCCCCAGCTCAGGGAGAGGCCTATGCTAGACTCTGCTAGGTGGTTCCAGAAGCGATCGACCTCATCAACACGTGATTTCAGATGTCTGCTGTCCAGAACTGTGAGAAAATAAATTTTTTCTGAAGTCATCTGAAGCACCACAGTCTGGTGATAGGAGCCTTGAGAAATGAATACAATAAGAGATTTGCACTGAATTTTCTTTTTCTTTTTTTCTTTATTTAGGTTTAGTCTGGACTCTGTCTACCCTGGGCTGACATAATTTCCTTCTCAGGAAGCCATGCACATTCATTACTTTTCTCATTACCATAACCAAACATCTGGCAATAAGTAACCGAAGGCTGAAAGGAATGATTTTGGCTCATGGCTTGATACAGTCCCTCACACAGCGGTGACAGAGGGAGCGTGAGGCTGCTTGCTCACATCTCTGCGGGCCCGGAAAAAGAGAATGCAGGCACTCAACTGACTTCCTCCCTTCCCCTCTATTATTCAGTCTACACCCCGAGCCACACATTCAGGATGAGTCCTCCTGTAACCTCTAGACACACCCTCCCAGACACTCGGAGGTGTGTCTCCTGGGTGATTCTAACGCAGTCGAGCTGACAAAGAAGGTTAACTATCACATCACACACCGTCTGTTAGTTGAAATGCTCTAACATGCCATGGAAACCACTGAGCAGCAGGTCCTCCAGCCTCTGGCTGCTGGTCATCCATCCCTCCTACCCATCCAGGGTTTCTCTCTAGGTCTCTCTCTGTCTTTCAATATCTCTCTTTCTCTCACCGTGCCTCTCTGTCTCTGTCCGTCTGTCTGTCTGTCTCTCTCTCTCTCTCTCTCTCCCAGCAATGCTTTGATCATCCTGCTTTGGCCTATCTGCCGCGGCTGTTCCTCTTCTGCTCCAGTGAGCAGCACCTGAGCCGACAGCAGCCACCTGGCATTCCTGAACTGCTTGCCCCCACATCTGGAGGGGAGATCCTAGCAATTCCATCAAAAGGCTCTAAGAAATAACTGACAAATCCTTTCCAGATGGGGAAAAGTTCCCCAGGGCAAAGAAGCTCTGATCTCAAGCCCTGTCTGTGCCAAAGCTGGAGAGAGGTTCTGCTGTCCAATTCTAATTTCCCCAGCACCGCCCCACGTCGGCTCGGCTCACCCTAGCCTGGGCCGGTTCTTCTGGTTTCTCTGAGAGCGCCTTCTTCATGTCTCTCCGAGAATGAGTGTCTCCAAATATCTTTCTTATCATCGTTTCATCCCATTTAGTCAGCTCTGGCTAGCCAGCTTAGCATTAGCCAGAAAAACTGGAGTAACTGATGAATCTCCTAAAACAGGCAAAGTTACACTTGGGGCCTTGATTACTCATTTGAAATGCTAATGTCATAGTAGCTACACCTGTCTTTGTTTTTATGATATGCATCACTTCTCTATCAAGAATCCAAATTTGGCTTTGATTTATAACATTTTTTATTTGATTTGTAGTACTGGGCCTAGAACCCAGCGTTCACAGCTGCTGAGCGAGGGCTAGGCCTCTGAGATAGGTCACCAGCTCTTTTTTTTTTTTTTGATACAAAAATATCTTGCTCTGTAGCTCAGGTTATCCTCAAACTTGCTCTGTAGCCCAGGCTGATCTCAGACACTCTGCCCTTATCTTCTGGAGTGCTGGGGTTGCAGACATATGACCACAGGCCTGGTTTTTGTTTGTTTGTTTGTTTGGTTGGTTGGTTGGTCTTGTTTGTCTTTAAACAGCACATGAAACACCAGGCTAGACAGATAATGCGCCCAAAGCTGTGAGTGTTGTTATAAACTTAGAGGACAAGTTAAAGTCACTAAGAATAGCTGCGCTATCAACACTTTGAAGGAGAACTTAGTCATGAGCTGTTAGCTCTTTTATAAATGACCAAAATTAATATCAATCACTAGTGATAAAAACAAATTTTAGGCTTTAAAGCGCTTGCTTGGACAATTTTGAAAGACTTATAAAAGATGAAACTAGTTTCCATGGGCTAAAATGTCTTCCTCTGCATGGTCAGACATGATTGTGAGGTATGGAGCCCCTGAACTTCAGAGGCTGTCAGTCCCCTGCTACAGAGACAGGAGACTGATGCTTGGGGGAGATTAAATGATTTGCTCGGGGTCACACAGCTGGGAAGTGACAACCAGGCCCAAAGGCTGGGCTCTCAGAGCGAATCCACTGCAACCTATTGGCCTCACCCAATCCAAGTTCCAAATGGCTTCCTGACCCAACAGTTGGCAGCCACATGGGCGGAGCAGAGAATTCACAGTATGGAAACCAGACACCGCCCACTCCTGTCTCCAGGCCTAATGAGGCAGCTGCGGGGGAGACTATTTCACTTTCCGTCTTTATTACATCAAGATGCAGCAATCATCTGCCGGCCATTGTCTTTCTCTTCCTTCCCCGGGCCTCTCCACCACCAGCCACCACCTCCATTCCCAACTTTCCTCCCCTCCCGTTATTCCTAGTTCGGCTGACTGACCAAGATGAAGAGTCCGGTGTGGTCCTGAAGGTCCTGGAGGGCCTGAAGGCACAGCCTTGGTTGTCTCGAAGCAGTTAGAATTTTCAGACTTCATGCTGAGACAGTAGTTTGTGGGTTTTTTTTTTTTTTGTTTTTTTTTTTCATACTTACCCAGCTGAGACATCATGGTCACATCCTCTTCACCGCAAGAGTCAGGGACACACACCCCCACACTATAGTCTGCTCCATCCTGGGAAACACAATGCCACAATGCCCTTTAATGTTAGTGTTCATAGTGTGTGTGTATGTGTGTGTGTGTGTGTGTGTGTGTGTGTGTGCGCGCGCGTGCTCAAATGTCCAAGCGGAGGCCAGATATTGATACAGATTATCCTTCTCTGCTCACCTTATTTTTTTGAGATAGGGTTGAGCCTGGAGCTCATCAGTTTGGGCTAGATTGGCTAGACAGGACACACATATCACACACACACATGCACACCACCCAGGAGCTGGGGTTATAGACCTCACCCAGCATTTACATGGGTGCTGGAGAATCTCCCCATGGGTCTTTGGGATTCTGAAGCAGTCACTTTCCACACGGAGTCATCTAATCAGGTCCTTGTTTTGTCTTCTGAGGCCAGGCCTAACGTAATTCAAGACGTCCTTGATTTCCTAATCCTCCTGCCTCATTCTCCCAAGTGCCAGGATTACAGTCATAAGCCACCACAGGCATGAATGTTTCTCAGGAAGGCTGTCACTACCCTAGCATACAGCAGGCAGGAGGGGAGGAGGACAGAAGGAAATCTGTTGAAAGAAAAAAGGATTCTGACCTCTCAAGACAGGCTCTTGCCAATACAGGATGGTCCAGGTGAATGTAGCACATCAGATGTACCTAAGTTAGGTTGGACACGCACCCAGGTTCAATGTCACAATTTAAGAAGTTTTGAATAACTTACTGGCCACATCCCTCCTCCAGATTAAAGGTCAATGGTTTTGGATAATTTACCCCAGTGCATTCCTCCTCCATATTAACGGTCATAAAAAACTGGCTCCTCTAGAATTGTCTAAACAGTGGTCAACTTGCAGTTTCTGAATAACATGGCACATATATCAAGTCAAGATTTTATTTCTAAAAAAGGCAAGTCAATAACTAGAATGCCAGCCGGGCGGTGGTGGCGCACGCCTTTAATCCCAGCACTGGGAGGCAGAGGCAGGCGGATCTCTGTGAGTTCGAGGCCAGCCTGGGCTACCAAGTGAGTTCCAGGAAAAGGTGCAAAGCTACACAGAGAAACCCTGTCTCGAAAAAAAAAAAAAAAACAAAAAAAAAAAAAAATAACTAGAATGCCCATCTTAATAAAGATAGGCCAAATCATAAATACCAATTCCTGAGCTTCAAAGTATACAATGTATATATATGACTGTGTAGGCCTGACCTACTCTGATATCGAAACCATTCGTCTGAAAATGACCCTTAAACAGTCCTCCAGACCTTCAGTGGGGCAAATGAGGCTCAGGAACCACACACACACACACACACACACACACACACACACACACACACACACACACACACACCCCGTCTCCACGGCTAACTGCTGGAAGGCTCCTAGAGCACCAGGAACAAGGAGCCCGCTCCCTTCCACTTCAGCCTGTAGTTTCTAGCCAGACAGCAATGTCATTTTATTTCAGCTGTGTGTGACACGTGTAAAATCCACTTTGTATTTAATAAAAGGTTGCGTGATGCCTAGGTTTCTATCTGAGCAGTCAAAGGATTGACACACTTTAAAGGTAAGTCAAGCCAATTGGAATCAGTGAGCTATTTAAAAAGAATTTTTTTTAAAGGACACTAAAGTTGGGAGAGGGTGAGGATGGGAAGTGGATCTGAGAAGAGTTGGGGGCGTTGAAATATGTTGTTTTAATATATGAATGTATGAATTATGAAATCCTCAAAAAATACTAAAATTTTATATTATTTTAAAAAGATAGAGTGGGCCCGAAAATGTTAGTCAGCTGGGTTAATGGGTATTCAAAAACTACAAGGCCAGGCAGTGGTGGCGCACGCCTTTAATCCCAGCACTAGGGAGGCAGAGACAGGCGGATCTCTTTGAGTTCGAGGCCAGCCTGGGCAACAGAGTGAGTCCCAGGACAGGCTCAAAGCTACACAGAGAAACCCTGTCTCGAAAAACAAAACAAACAAACAAAAAAAACCCTACAGCTCATCTGCTTGGATCACTCAAATGCACATCCAGAGCTCCATTTCTGGGGCCAGGGCTACAGGTAACTGGACTCCAGGTGCTGCTCCAGAAATTGATGCATTCAGGGGTTCAAGCTGAGCCACTAGTTCTGACCCTCTTGGTTTGATCCACACTCCACCGCGCAATGGCTGCTTCCTTGGTAGAAGGGATGTAAAGTTGAAACTTGCAGGGTTAGTGGTGGAGGCGGTAAGAACTCTGAAAGCTGAGCCGGGCGGTGGTGGCGCACGCCTTTAATCCCAGCACTCGGGAGGCAGAGCCAGGAGGATCTCTGTGAGTTCGAGGCCAGCCTTGGCTACCAAGTGAGTCCCAGGAAAGGCGCAAAGCTACGCAGAGAAACCCTGTCTCGAAAAAAAAAAAAAAAAAAAAAGAACTCTGAAAGCTGAAATATGGCAGAGATTCCCCCCATAGGGACCCCAATGGAGTAAATTGAGATGGTAGAGAGACCTACCAATAAGTCCAAAGATGGAAGATTGCTCTTCAAATTGCTGGCCACCTTTGACCTTGGATCCTCCACTTAAAGGTCAGCCAGGAGGTTCCTTCCAGTGTGCAGGGAGGAATATCTGAACAAGCGTATGTGGTTTTTGACAAGGGCCTCCTGTCACTCATTCCAAAGAGGCTGAGCACATTAAACCAACTATTAAAATGACGTTTTAGCTGGGCATGGGGGCGGATGCCTAAAACCTCAGCTCCTGGGAGGGAGAACCCAGAGCAGCATTTCTCAACCTGTGGGGTTGCAACCCTTTGGCGGGGCGCAGGGCAGGGAGGGCGCTGAACAACCCTTCCACAGGGGTCGCATGTCATATACCCTGCCTATCAGATATTTGCATTACTATTTATAACAGTAGCAAAATGACAGCTATGAAGAAGCAATGAAAATAATTTTATGGTGTGTGTATGTGTGGAGGGGAGAACCCACAACATGAGGAACTGTTTTAATGGGTCACAGCATTAGGAAGATTGAGAACCACGGGCCTAGAGGATCAAGAGTTCACAGTTCAAAGTAGGGCTAGGTTGCAAGTTCCCGGTCAACCTTTTCTACGTAGAGAGATCTTGTCTCAAAGAAGCAGAGGATCACCGCTTCTGATGAGGTCTCTTAGTGTCTTTTTGTGGTTTCAGTTAGGAAAAGCAATTGACGTGTATCTTACATGCTGAGAGCACCCGGGTCCCCTCCACTCACCTGCAGTAGATGAAGTTTGCAGTACTGGCCTCGGAATCTTCCCTCGGGGCCCCGGGTGGAAAGACACTCGCTGTAGGATCCCAACCTGTCCAGGTTGCCGCTAAGAACGTTGCTTCCAAGCTTTCCCACCGAGTCATACACTGAATTCCAAAGCAGACGTGTGCAAAATCAGTTTCCTTATGCCACTTGGAAGTAAATTATGAGGACTTGAGTTTGAGTCCCCAGAGCCCATGTGAAAAGCTTAGCTGGGAGCTTGTACCTGTAACTGTGTGTGTGGGTTTCAGCAGAAGCCAGAAGGGGCCTTCAGATCCCCCTGAAACTGGAGTTACAGGCAGTTGTGAGGAATTCTGGTTTTCTGAAAGACCAGCAAGTGTTCTTAACCTCTGATCCTTCTCACCCGCCCCTTCTCATTGCTCATAATAATCTTAATTTCAGCTCTGTCTGGACACACTGGGGTAGGTTTCTTTTACATATCTTGTCCAGTGTTCTGTGGGCCCCATCCCCCTTTCATTCTGGAGAAAGCGTGGCCATTACTTGTTCAATATTCTTTCCTTCCTTTTGTTGTATTTCTATATCTGGTTCCTGTTATCATCTGAGCGTAGTCATTTTAATCCCCATCTCTTTGCTTTTCTTTTCTTTTTAAATTTACTTTATTTTATGTGCATTGGGGTTTTGCCTGCATGTATGTCTGTGTGAGGGCGTCAGATCCCCTGGAACTGGAGTTACAGACAGTTGTGAGCCACCATATGGGTGCTTGGAATTGAACCTGGATCCTCTGGAAGAGCAGTCAGTGCTCTTAGCAGCTGAGCCATCTCTCCAGCCCCCCCCCCTTTTTTTTCCATTTTCTGTATATTCATCTTTTCTTGCTCTGTTTTGAGAGGGCTATTGAATTGAGCTAGCTCTCCAAATTTTCTTCACTTCTATCCACCTTAATATTTACTCTATGGACTATGGATCAATTGCAGTATTTTCACTCTCTTTAATATCCAACAGTTCTCGACTTTACGCATATGTGTAACTTCGTATTACCAGTATTCTTTCATCACTCCGATCATGTTCATCTGCTTATTTTATTCCTCGACAGCTCATCGGCTCCAGTGATTTAGTTCATGTAGCACACAGATTTGTTCAGTTCACTATCATTCCTCTCTGTGTTTACCCTGGGGAGCTCTGTGCTGTGGCCTATGCACACTCCTTCCCTTTGTGGAGGACAGTGAGGGATGTGTGCAGCCCAGGCCCCAGCTGGCCCCTCCCCTCAGGATTTTAAGGACTGTGAAGACAGAAGATTGTGACTGTCCCCGAAGGAATGAAACACCAAGTCCATGTGTGTGGCGTTGCAGAGGCGCCTCCACAGCTAAGAGCACCGGGTTCTAGAGGACCCGCGTTCAACTCCCTGCTCCCACGTGGCAGCTTGCGATTGTCTGTCACTCTAGTTCCAGAGCATCCGAAAGTCCTCTTCTGGCTGCCTCCTGCACTGCGTGCATGCGGTGCAGAGACATGCAGACCAAACACCATACACATATAATCATTTTTTAAATTTTAAATAAAAAAAAAACTTCTTACATGTGGTCCCACCTCTAAAATATTAGGAGACGCTTGTGCCCCTCCCTTCAGCTACCAGATGACCGAGACAATGGACTGTGGGAAATTAGACTTTTCCCAGGGAGCTCAAGCTGGGAGAAGGAAAAGTCTGGAGCTGAGCAGCAGCCACAGGGCGCTTGTCTCCTGGAAAGAGACTTCGCACAGCTCGGAGCTTGTTAGGCCACCTTGCTGGGAGTCCACAGCACGGATAACGGTGAGCAGGACCATTTGACCAAGGCCCTGAGCTGTGCACACCGTTTACCTTCCATTTAAACCTAAACTTTGTATCAGGACCCTGAAGACGGGCTGCAGGGGCAGAGGGAGAGCAGGCCACCGGACGTCCACACTTCGCTCCTCTTCCCAGAGTGGCTACACTGAGTGCGTCTCCTCTCTTTGCTTCTCGATATGACTTATCTGTTCCTGGAGACCAAGCTCTGTCCCATTCTAAGTTACTCCGCATTGTGTTAAATGGTGTTTTCCCAGGATGTGCCTTGACCTGAGAGATTCCATTTTGCAAGCAGCTCCTGACTTCATTTTGAAGATGGAGGGTGATTGTACTCCTTCCTGGGTGGAAAAGTGAACACATGCACACACAGAGAGACACACATGCACATATGCACACGCAGGTACACACACACACACACACACACACACACACACACACACACACACACACACACACACCACGGGACTCCAGGCACAGCCTGCAGAATCCAGGAGCTTCTCACAATGCTGACATCAGTGTCTTAAATGTGGCCTTCCTTCCTTCCTTCCTTCCTTCCTTCCTTCCTTCCTTCCTTCCTTCCTTCCTTCTGTCCTTCCCTTTAAATAAAACAAGGTTTCAATAAGGCCGTCTTACAGGCTAGGCAAGCATATGTCCCAGCTCCTTTTCTTTGTCTTTATTCTAGCTCCAGATGATTGGTTTTTTTTTTTTTTTTTTTGTTACACTTTATTCATTTATTTGTGGGAAGAGGGTAAGGCATGAGGAGGTCAATGGAGGTCAAGGGTGATGCTTGGACAAGAATATTTCCCAAGTGATACAAATATGCAGCCTTGTGTGACTTCCCTGGCCACTAAGATTCCTGTTGGACTCCTGAGCGGGGCTTCAAGGGGCCCTTCATGCCCTGACTTGCCCTCTGGCCTCACCCTGCCAGCCACAGCCAGAACATTCCCTCTGCTCCATTCTAGAGGTGCCCTGGGTTAACACTTGTCGGTCTTCCAGCTCGGGCAGTCCCTCCTCCCAGTGCGCTGGAAATAACCGAGTCACCCTTCAAGTCTGGACTAGAGAACTATCTCTCCCAGGAAACAATCCAGACTCTTGCTCAGTGTGTCACACTGAAAGATATGTCACTGTGTCCTGTCTGTCTCCCAGGAGGGTGAGATTGGGCCCTGTGTTAGCCAGTGTACATCTTAGAGAAAGCGCTTTGTGGATGTTGGCCCGATTGGATCAAACTTGGACAAGGTTAGCCCAAATACCCAAATCCAGCTCCAAAAGATTGTTCGGAGGTTTTCCCTGAACCCCCAAATACTAGATACGGTCATTACAGCTGGACTAGAGTGGTTTTCAAATTACGTTTCCCATCACAGAATCTCCCAAGCTTTGTGCCCTGAAGTGTAAGGGTCTGGAATTGTAAGAGCAGCCAGGAAGGCAACAGGGTGGGTAACGCTATTGAGCTTTAAGCCCTTGGGGCAGAGTCTGCAAGGCACATGTCCTGGAGTCCCATCGGCTTCCGTTCTTGCTTCCTCTCCTGATCGCTTTGATGATTTTCCCAGCTAAGCTACTCCGGTTTTCAAATTGCATTGCGCTCCTTTCTGATCATGGGCTCACACGGACAAACTGCCCTTCTCCGGCCTCCACCCTTCTGAGTTGCCATGGAGAAGAACCTAAGTGACAGCAGGACATAGGCACGGGCCAGATCAAAATGCTGCGTCACAGGGAGGGAGGAATGGATCAGGACGAAGGGCACAATGCTGCACATCACCACACTTGTTCTGAGTTTTCATGTCCAAATGACTCAAAGCAACATGTTTCAATCAGCTGCGCTAACTGGCAGGCGCTTCCTTCTCCTGCAGTGGTGATGATGTGTGGATATTAAAATGCAGTGTCTGGGTTTGTTTTCTCACAGTTCTGGGTTTCTGCTCAGGGCCTGGTACAAGTGAGGATGCACCCTACTACTGAGCTATTTTTGACAAGGTTTCTCTCAATGGCCTAAAGATCTCATCCTCCTGCCTCCGTTCCCTAACTGCCTGGGATTACAGACACATGCCTCTCTCCCCAAAGTGTGGGGAATTGCAGCGTGCATCACCATGCTCACCTAGGATGTGGATATCTTTCAGGATGGAGCACACTATCCCACCACAGTATGGATGCTTTGTTGTTATTTTGTGCAGAACTTTTGGTTGTTTCGGGGTGGGGTGGGAATTGAACTCAAAGACTTTCATGAGCTGAATAAGCATTCTCCCACCAGGCCAGACCTTCAGTTCTGCGTGGATGTTCGATAGTCACAGAACCTAGAACTTTCTATGGGATCTGCTACATCACCCTCTTTCTAGCAAGAGATTTTATTGGTTTCTGTGGTGTTGGTCCTGAGCAAAAACAAACAAACAAAAACCTTCCCAATAGACAGCTGGGTAGGTAAAATGGGCACTATTCAAACTCTGAACAGTCAAATAGATTGGCTGAACCCTACCTCCATTGGTAGAGTTCTTGCCTAGCAGATGGAAGGCCCTAGCTTCAAGCCCCAGCAACACACACACACACACACACACACACACACACACACACACACGCGCGCGCACGCGCACGCGCACGCGCACACGCACACGCACACGCACACGCACACAAACAAACAACACAACAACAAAAATGCCCATGCTGTGGTAGACTTCAGCAGGCTTCTTCCCAGAGTCCTAGCTCAGATTGGTGCTGCCCTTCGTAGTGTCTATTATGGACTGCCTCCTCCGACAAGGGCCCCCTGGGGGGCTGGGTGTCTAGGAAAGAGTTGAGGCATCCAGACAAGATAAAACAGTGACTACAGAAAATGAATGATGAAGCCAAAGAGACAACGAAATCCAAATGGGAAGCTGGGCATCCTGTCATAGTGCAGGCTAAGAAACTTGAGGCAGGGCCCGGAGATGTGCGGGGGTTACAAAATGTTTTAGAGGTAAAGTGCTGTTTTGGAAAGCTGGGAGGATGAGATGATCAGAAGCCAGACAAGAAAAGTACTGCAGATTGCTTGGGAACGTCTGCCTAAGCCCCCACCCCCAACTCTGTCTGGAGCAATGACCTGGAGGCCACGTCAGAAGTCTGGGGGTATGCACGTGGTATAGCTTCCACTCAAGGCCTCGGCCGTGGACAGCATCAGGAATGGGCAAGCTTGGACTTTGAGAAATGGCTGCCGGCAGCACCACTGTATTTTAGGCCTGGGCCCCTCGCTAGAGATATGTGGGCTTCTGTTCTTCCACTCCAGGTGATAAACACATGATTTAATTCTGCAGAGTGTGTTTGGGAGGTCGGAGCAGTCTGTATTAGCATCTGTCTTCCTGTTCCATAGCTGTC